CCTGGTGTGTGAGGAAGCTCCCTGAGGCTGGGAGAAAACCATCCATAAGGATTCGAAGGAATAGTGCCCAGGCAACAATGCCTGGTCCCAGACCACAAAACCTCCCAATTCATCGGGGGAGGACTCCTGATGGGTCTCACTGGCTGAAAATCAAGGTGCTGTCAGGGCTGCATTCTTCTCTGTGGCTCTGGCCACCAATCTGTTTCCTCACCCTTTCCGGCTTCGAGAAGCCCCCAGCATGCCTTGGTTCATGGCCCTCTTTCTTCATCTTCAAGGCTGAGTCCTCACTGCCATCCTCAGCTGCCCACTTCCTGTACTTTTCCATTTTCAAGGGTCTTAAGATTACATAGGTCCTACCCAGATAATGCAGTCTAATTTCCCTGTTTTAAAGTCAGCTGTTAGGCAACCGTAATTCTGCCTGCAACATTAATTCCCGTTGCCATGGAACAACACTTTCATGGGTTCCTGGGATTAGGATCTGGACATTTTTGGGGAACTCATTACTCTGCCTATCACACATATATTCAAATTATTAATTAGAAACAGCAAAAATGTTTACAAGAAAAAAATCCAAATCCAAATTGTAACGATAAAAACTAGTGTCTGAAAGGAAAAGTAAACTACCTTATACTAATGGCAGATTAGGCGTTGTAGAAGAAATGATTTGTGAACATCAAATCATAGCCATAGAAACTACCAAAAATGAAATGGTGAATTATACAAAACTATGAGCAGACCATCAGTGAGCTCTGGGACAGCTTCAAGCAACCCAACAGATATGTCATTGGAGCCCAACAGAAGATGGGCGCCATGTCAGCCAAAAACACACAAGGGGCTAGGCCTGAGGACAGTGCGGTTGTCTCGCCTGAGATCACCACCAGGGAGAATGCTAGAGCAACACCTTCCATTTTATACGCACCTCGAATATCTCCCACATGTGAAGGTGCAATTCGCGTATACAACCTAGAAGAATTAATCACCTGTGACCTACACCTCAGAAGCATTAAAGAGATGTCCTCCTGGCAGGAGGCAGATGGCATCAGTGGATGTGGAAATATGAGAGGGAGGGAGGGGAGGAGGAAGAAGGGAGGGAGGGAGAGAGGGAGGGAAAAATGTGTTCAGTATATAAGTACTTGATATTTTTCTCACTTAAATTTCTTTAAAAGATAATTATTACAAATAACATATCTGATAAGGAATACATATCAGAATATATAAAGAACTGCAGTTTAACAAAACATTCATTGTGCCTTCTTTGTCTGTGGGGTTATTTGGTTCGTTTTCTCCCCTGTGGCATCTAGAATGTTGCTTACATGTAAGTGGGTGGCTGTCCTGTATTTGCATGTGGGGCGGGTGGCGTGCCGTCCTCTGCTGAGGCTCCATAAGGCCCCTCCAGATGCTGCGATCAGAGATGACCTCTGGGTTGGAAGCATCTCTGCCTTTACTCCCAGGTTCCTTCCCTGATGTCTCAGCTGTTTCTCCCTTTTCTCCCTTGTGGAGGTTAATTTTGCTGGGTATTTCTGAAATCCTCAGGTCCGGGGAAGCCCTAGCTTTTCCTCATCTCGGCTCCTTAGAGCACATGTGTCAAACACAAGGCCCGCGGGCCAAATCCGTCCCGCCAGGCCTTGCAATGTGGCCCGCACCGCGCTGTCATCACTGCACTCCGCTGTGTTTCCATCACAATGACAGTTTATAACTGTTCAGTAAACCATTCGGCCAGCGATTTAGGCAGGATTTTAGATTTTGGCCCCTTCTCTGATTGAGTTTGACATGCCTACCGCGTGGTGCTCTGTTTACTTCCCTGTGGAGGAGCCTGAGCAATCTGAACTCTGGCCCTTAGGAGTCCCATCCCTGTCAGAGCAGACTCCCTTTCCTCCCCTCCCTCCCAGCCAGCGCTGATGCCGTGTCTATGCAGGATGCTGTGTCCGTGCGGTGCTCAGACCCCACCACTGCAGTCAGGGGTGCCATGCCCTCTCCTGGTTTTGTTGAAGAAGCTGTCTGAGGACTTTGCTTTTACTCTTAAAGCTGCTCGGTGTGGTTTTATGAGGACATTTGGTTTTAAAAATTATCAGCACCACCACCTGTACCAGCTGAAGGCCACTTCAGTCAGGCTTTTCTTCCTGTCCTTCCCCTGAGCAGCTCTTATCAAGCCACCAGGACTCTCTCTGCCATCCCCGGCGTCACTTCCAGTTCTCCTTCTCCTTGGCCTTAAACGCCACCCATCCAAAGCGGAATCCTCCCAAAGCTGCTCTTCCTGCATCTCCCCGTCATTTAACGCGGCTCTGCTCCCTCCGCGGCCCGGACAAAGCCGTCAGCTTTGGCCCGTCTGTCTCTGTTCCCACATCTGGCCCATCTGTTCTCAGAACTGCCTTCAGCATATGTCCTGTTAGACAGTAACTCCAAACAATCCCAAAGGAAAGAAAGTAATTTCATTTACAATAGCACCAAAAAGGATAAAATACTTGGGAATAAACTTAACCCTGGAGGTGAAATGATTAATCTCAAGATAGTTATACTGAGTAAAAGAAATCATATACAAAGTAGTACATCCATCTATGTAAATATCATTCCACTTATGTAAAACTCATGAAAATGCAGCTCTTGTAGCAGAAAGTAAGTCATAGGCAATGGGGTGGGAGGGTGGGGGAAGAAGAGAGTGAGAAGAACCACAGGGCATTGGTGGAATGATAGATACACTATCTTTCTTTTTTCTTTTAATCCTCACTTGAGAATATTTTTTATTGATTCCTAGAGAAAGTAGAAGAGAGAAGGAAAGACAGAAATACTAATGTGAGAGAAACACATTGATTGATTGCCTCCTCCACTGGCCCCAAACAGAGTCTGGGAGGAACCTGCAACCTAGGTACAAGCTCTTAATTGGAAATGAACCTGGGAACCTTTAGTCCGAAGGCCCACACTCTATCCACTGAGTCAAACCAGCTAGAGCTAGATACACTATCTTGATCATAGTGACAGTTTTTTAGATCGTGTAAAAACATCACATTGTACACAATATATGCAGTTTATTACAAGTCAGTTACACCTCCGTGAGGCTGATATTTATTTACATATATATTTATACTAGAGGCCCGGCACAAGAAATTTCTGCACGAATTACAGTCCCTAGGCCTGGCCTGAGATCAGGGACAACTTCCCCAGCTCCTGGCCCCATCCCCCTGCTGCCACCCACCCGGGTTCCCTATTCGCCATCAGGCAATCAGTGCCTGCCGGTCGGGAGGAGGGACCAAGAAGTTGGCCATTCCTGCCCACTCACCAGCCCCATCCCCAATGCTGGTCGCCCTTTGTGTGGGGGACGACTGGCAGGGTGGGGGCCTTGGCCTGGTGTCACCTGTGTCTGCTGCCACCACCCCCGGTTCACTGTTCCCCATCTGGCAATCAGGGCCTGCAGGATGGGGGCAGCTCCTGCGTTGAGCATCTGCCCCCTGATGGTCAGTGCACATCATAGCGACCAGCTATTCTGCCGTTACGTCAATTTGCATATTACCCTTTTATTATATAGGATATATGTACATACCTTATAGAGGGGACTCATATTAAAAGAGACTTACTTGAGAGGCATAGCAACCAAATGCAGTGTTTGGACTTCATATCCTGATTCAAACAAGCTAATGATAGAAAGATGTTCTGGAGACAACTAGGAAAATTGTAGTATAGTCTGAGTATTTGATAAGGTTGATTAATTATTGTTAATTTTGTTAGATAAGACAGTGACACAGATGAAAGCCCATTGTTAAATATAGTGAAGACTTTATACATGAAATTATACAAGCTTGTGACGTGCTTTGAAAACCTCATATAATAAAGAGGGAGAATAGCTGAAAAATATAAACTAATGATACTTGGAGCTGGTTTATGGATGCAGAGAAGTTCATTAAATTATTTTCTTTGCATATTTTAATTACCCCGAATTTTTTTATGTTTTATGACTGTTTATCCTCAGGATAGAACCAAGGTGTTCCTTCTTTAGCTTCACAGTTCACAATCTGGCTATGTGTCAAGTGGCCATTTGTCCCATGTGCCTTTGCACCCATCGTCCCGGTGTAATTGTTAGTGGGGCGCTCTGACTCCCAGAGCATTCTGATCTGAACAGGGAATAACGCTCAGCCTGCACGTTTCACCTCTGCTCTTCGCTAGATTCTTTGTCAGCAACCCCTGGTGACCCTGTGCTTTTCCTTATCTAACGCCTTCCTGCTCCGTCTTCCACGCCTGAGCCCCAGCAGCGTTTCCTCAGAGCCTCCCCTGGCATGGCTCCGCTGCCCTCTCCCCTCCAGCCTGCCTCGGAGTGCTGCCAGCCCCAGGCACGCGCAGCTGAACGAGGCTGTCCCCAACTCGGTCCGCTTTGCGAGATCAGAGGTCTGCTGTCTTTTCATCTTTGGGCTCTTGGTGTCTGGCAGTGCTAGCTATCAGTGCCTGGCAAAAAGTTGCATCAGCCCAGCCTTCTGTAGAGACTCTGACTTAACTCTCAGATAAATGAACATGACTCAACCCTGGAAAGGTAGCTAGACCTTCCTAAGATGGCAGAGCACTGTAGGGACAGAGACAGAAGTAGAATTGTGACCACGTCCTTCTCCCACACCCGGTAATGTGAGGAACTATTTCAGGGAGCATTGGAGGTTTCCTTTTACCAGGGCAGAGCTTAAGGCATCGTGGAGCAAATTAAACCATTGGGAGCTCTGACATGTACAAGTAGAGTCTGATAGTGCTGTAATATTTCCAATGCTTGTTGAATACAAAATGCAGTGGTGATTATGCTATCTGGCCCCTTAGCTATATTCCCTTTTTAATTATTCAACCAGAATACTGAGTCTCTGGGAAAACTGCCAGTTTCTCTGACCTTTAATTCTCTGTTAGAGCCCTCTCATATGTTGTGACATGAAGAGTGATATAGAATACTAGGAACGTTATACATTTAATTATTTTAAAATAACATTATTCAGAGATCTTGCACTAATGTCTGTTTTTCTTTGCAATGTCCATAGCGTCGTCTTGGAGATGCAGCCAAGAAAGCCATCAGCAAATTGACAACCAGAACAGTGAAGAAGGGCGATAAGGTACAGTAATGAAGTAACTTTAACACTGTTAAAGCATAACGTAGATTTGCTTTTGATTTAGTGGGAGAGAATATATCAATTGTGTCTCATTTGTTAGTCTATTATTTTTTTCCAAGTATACTCTAATGCTTTATTTTAAATTAGCTTCTCTTTGAAATCTTACTATGTTTTTTATTTTATTTTTTTATTGATTTCAGAGAAGTAAGGGATAGAGAGATAGAAACATCAATGATGAAAGTCATTGATGGGCTGCTTCCTTCATGCCCCACACTGGGGATCAAGCCCACAACTTGGGCTTGTGCCCTGATCAGGAATTGAACTATGACCTCCTGGTTCATAGATCGACACTCAACCAACCGCTGAGCCACACTGGCTGGGTTGAAATCTTATTCTTACTATGCCTGCCATTTGGAAGCCCTCGTATAGTTCTCTACCTTTCCTGGACTTTAATGCTCTTGCTGTTATTAGCTTACTGGATGACTTATCGTTACCTTACTTATGGTATTCAACAGTTTTCTTCTGCTAACATCTAGTATCCTTTTGGGAAGAACTCTGATGGAGAATTTATACACTATTAGCCACAAATATGTGTTGACTTCCTATGATTTCTTTTTTTCTTTTCTTTTTTATTGAATTTATTGGGATGGCACTAGTTAACAAAATTATATAGGTTTCAGGTGCACAATTCCACAATACATCATCTGGACACTGTACTGGGTGTTCACCACCCCAAGTCAATCTCTGTCCATCACAGTGTATCACCCTGTACCCTCCTCTATCAACCCCATCAATGCTCCTCCTCCTCTCCCCTCCCCCCGGCAATCACCACTCTGTTGTCTGTGTACATACGTGGTGGGATTTTTTCTATTTTACTCAATTCCTTCACCTACCCACAAGCTGTCAGTGTGCTCTCTACTATGAAAATGTCTCTATTGTAGTTCATTTTGTTCATTAGATTCCACATATGAGTGAGATTGTGTGGTACTTGTCTTTCTCTGACTGGCTTATTTTACTTAGCACAATGCTCTCTGTCACAAAAGGTAAGATTTCCTTCTATTTTACAGCCAAGTTGTATTCCATTGTGTAAATATACCACAGCTTTTATTTTCTTGCAATCATTTGTATTTCTTTGGTGTCAGTTGTTTCTTCTCTTTCATTTCTTGTTTTATTTATTTGAGTCCTCTTTTTTTCTTGATGAGTCTGGTTAAAGGTTTGTGAAACCTTGTTTATTTTTTTCCAAGAACTAGCTCTTTGTTTCATTGATCTTTTGTATTAGTTTTTTTTTTGTTGTTGTTGTTGTTGTTGTTGTTGTTTTTGTTTCAGAGAGGAAGGGAGAGAAAGAGAAAGGTAGAAACATCAACGATGAGAGAGAATCATTGACTGTCTCTTGTATGCCTCCCCACTGGGGATCAAACTGGTGACTTCTTGGTTTCTGGGTCAGTGCTTGATCACAGAGCCACATTGGCCAGGCTGTATTTATTTATTTATTTTTTAAGATTCTATTTGTTTATTTCTGCTCTGATCTTTACTACTTCCTTTCTTCTACTGACTTTATTTCTTGTTCTTTTTAAAGTTTAAGTGTAAAATTAGATTGTTTATATATGTTTTTATTGATTTGAGAGCGAGAGGAAGGGAGAGGGAAAGAGAGAAACATCTGTTGGCTGCCTTCTGCACAACCCTTATTGGGTAATGAGACCACAACCTGGGCATATGCCCTGACCAGGAATCGAACTGGAGATCACTCAGTACACAGGACGATGCTCAGCCAATTAAGCCACACCAGCCAGGGCAAGATTTTCCTTGTTTCTTGAGATAGGTCAGTAATGCTACAAATTTCCCCCTTAGGACTGCTTTCCTGTGTCCACAGATTTTGGAATGTTGTATTCTCATTTTTTTGTTGTTTGTTTCAGAGTTCTTTTGATTTTTTCCTTGATCTCACTGTTAACCCATTCATGTCTTTGTATGTTTTTCAGTTTTTTTCTTGTGATTGGTTTCTAGTTTCATACCGTTATGGTCAGAGAAGATGCTTGTATCCTAATATGTGGTCTGTCCTAAAAAATGGTCCATGTTCACTTAAAACACTGCTTTGGGGTGAAATGCTCTGGAAATATCAATTAAATCCATCTGATCTAGTGTATCATCTAAGACCAATGTTTCCTTGTGGATTCTGTCCAGAAGACTTATCCATTGATGTCAATGGGGTGTTGAAATTCCCTGCTATGACTGCATTGCTGTTGATATCTCTCTTTATGTCCATCATGATTTGCCTTATATATTTAGGTGCTCCTCTTTTGGGGTGCACAAATGTTTACAGGGGCTATATCCTCTTGTTGGATTGCTTCCTTTATCATTATATAGTGACCCTCCTTGTATTTTACTATAGCCTTTGTTTAAAAATCTATTCTGTCACATATAAGTATTGATACTCCAGCTTTTTCCCCCCCCCTTGAATTTGCATGAAATATCTTTTTTCTATCCCTTTACTTTTAGTCTGTGTGTATCTGTTGTTCTGAGGTGGGTCTCTTGCTGACAGCATATATATGGATCTTGTTTTTTTTATCCATTTAGCTATCCAATGTTTTTTTGTTTGGACTATTTAGGCCATTTTATATTTAAAGTGATTGTTGATAGGTACATATTTATTGCCATTTATTTTTCTTTTATTCTTCTGGTTTTTCTTCTGCTTTTTAAAGCAGGCCCTTTAACATTTCTTGTAATACTGGTTTGGTGGTTATAAACTCCTTTAGCTTTTTCTTTTCTGAGAAGTTTCTTATTCTTTCTCCTTCAATTTTAAGTGAGAACCTTGCTGGGTAAAGCAGTCTTAGTTGTAGGTCCTTGCTTTTCATCACTTCATTGTTGCATGCCAATCCCCTCTGGCCTGAAATGTTTCTGTAGAGATAAGCAGATAGTCTTGTGGAAGCTCCTTGTAGGTAACTACAATAACTCTCTTTCTCTTGCAGTTTTTTTGCTATGCTTTCTCACACCTTGCCAGGTCCCTCTGTGTTTTAGTTATCATTAAAGGGAAACCTAGAGATCCAGATGTCACGGGAGTCTCGCTGGACAGGGCCATTCGTGTGGGCTAAGCAGTTGGCGAGAAGGGTCAGGCCTGATGGCGTAGGGAGACTGGGCCGAAGAGGCAGTGACAGGCTGTGGCTGAGACCGCTCTCCACAACTCCCAGCTCAGAGCTCAGGTGTGCCAGAGCCCTGCTTCTGCTCCGTGAGGACAAAACAGCCACGCAAACTTAGGCCCTGATTCCGTCCAGTCCCGGTTATCTAGAATGGAAAGAAGTGCGTCTCCGGAAGCACAAAGCCAAACCATCCCCTGCCGCACACCCACTCCCACTCTACTGTTTTAACAAAGAGCAGGGGAGGGTCATTCACCTATTGTCCGGCCTCCGTTCTACCACTGTGTTGCCTTGACTCCCTTATTCCTGTTGCCTTCACACCAACCACCACATGTGATTTGTCAGGGCCCAGCTCCTGAGGTGGAGGCCTTGTCAGGAAACCTCACTGTACACTCGGGGAGGAAAAAGTATAGCCACTTGCAGAGAATATAAGCAGCAAGGCAGCAGCTGCACTGTAAGCTGGGGGCTCTCTGGGCCCACCTTCAGCTGCCACCTTCATTTCACCATACTCGTCTCTCAGGCTACAGAGCCCTCCTCCCTCGTTAGAGCCAACACCTCTCAGTGCATGTCTTCCAGACCCGCCAAGACTCACCCCTGAGTTCCAGGCCAAGTGGCGGTGACACCACAAACAGTGCCACCTTTCGCCGCTTAGGTTCTTAGAAATGCTGCTTAATGACAAACCGGGGAAACCGTCCCCAAACGGGAGGAAGGACATCGGTAATTCTGGATGACCGAGTTCCTGGCTGCAGCTTCCTGAGTCCGGATGAAGATCCAGTATCAAGTTGAGCCATGAGTTTCCTAACTCAAATCTGCTACCGTCCTTGGGGTGCGCTTCTAGAGAGCTATCTCCCGGGGCTGTCATCTCTTCTGCCTGTGCTTAGCCTTGGGCGACTCCTGATGAGCCGTGACACCTCCTGGGCCAGAAGAGCACTGCGGCCAGACGTGAGAAGAAGACGAAAATGGTCAGGGTGACAGCTCGTTTGAATCTTGAAAAAAATTAGAATTTGGGGGGAGAAGGGACAGTGAAGAGGGTCTGAGGGACAAACAGTGAGGGACAGACACTTGACTTGGGGTGATGAACACAATACAGTGCACAGATGATGTGTTGTAGGGGAAATTGGGATTCTTCTAAGATATTACACAGACAGAATTAGTATTAATTGTTACAACATAGTATAAAGACAAAATAGGTTGGTTTAGATGTAATTTGGGTTGATATGATTAAGCAAATAGAAACATTAAATTGTTTTTATAACCTTTCACTTCACCATCACTCGTTTCCTACAGTTGCCTCAGGAAAGTTCTTGTCTGGATTGTTTCTCCACGTTTATACATTTCTCGCTGCTGCGTGTGACTTCGGTTCCTATGCTTTGCATTTCAGGAAACAGACCCGGACTTCGATCACTGTGCCGTCTGCATAGAGAGCTATAAGCAAAATGACGTCGTCCGGATTCTCCCCTGCAAGTATGTCAACCTCCTTGGTTTAAAAACCCTGCTGGTGTGTGTCTGTCTCCTCCGGGGAGGTGCTGACTGCTCTGAGCCGCCGTAGCTGGGGCTTTCCTGCGGCCAGGCCCTGCACTGCGTGGAGCGGGCCGCAGTTGGTGGGCACTGCCCTCCCCAGCCAGGACCGATGGCACAGCATTCTCGTTAGGAGAAACACAGGACAGACCTCTGGCCAGTCCTGTAGTCTAGAAAGCATGAATGTAAAAATATTAATTCTGTGAATCCTTGGGTTTCAAAACTAGCCACCATTCCTCTCCTTGAATCATTGTCCCTAGTCCTTCTGATAATGCCTCTGCAGTGGGCAGGTGCCAGAGCCCTAGGGACCTGCTGCCCTTTTCTGAGCCGGGCCTTGCAGAGGGGGGCTGATAGGGGCTGCATGCCGCCTCCGGGCAGGAGCTCTGCGCTGTACAGTCCACGTTCCCCATGCCCTGGAAGACGCAGTGCTTTCTCCCCATGGCGGGTAGTGTAGCCAACGGTACCTGCCAATGTCATGCTATTCAAAAATGGCTGAGGTGCCCAGCCAGTGTGACTTAGTGGATGAGCGTTGACCTGTGAACCAGGAGGTCAGGGTTCGATTCTTGGTCAGGGCACATGCCTGGGTTGTGGGCTCCATCCCCAGTAAGGGGACGTGCAGAAGATAGCTTACCAGTGATTCTCTTTCATAATTGATGTTTCTATCTCTCCCTCCCTCTCCCTTCCTTTTGAAATCAATAAAATATTTTTTTTTTTAAAAAAAGAAGGAATGGCAGAGCAGATACAGAGGTACACTGCACTGCTGGGCCCCTGGCAGAGGCCATACTGGCCCCAGAGGGAGGTGTTCACTGCACTTTGGTGCCTAACGTCCTCTGTGCTAACGTGTCAGCCCCCTCACGGTGCTCCCCACTGGGAGCCTGGGAATATAAAACATGAAGATACGCGGTCCCACCATTGATTGGAAAAATAAGGAAGTACCTATTGAGAAGCCTAAAATCAAAGATTTTTCCTCTTCCTTCTCCCTTGCTTTAAAACACAGCCCCATGACGCTGAGCCTCTCAATGCCGGGTGGGAATGAATAAAATAATTAATAGGAGTTGTCTCCATGAGCTACTGATATTATTTTACTTATTCACAACGTGGTCTATTTTGAGCCTAGAAAGATCTTTGTTTTAAAAAATCATGGAACATAAGAATAACTACTTTACACATGAAGATAAACCTATAAAATTAAATGTGAGCTGTCCTATAGAAAATTAAATTATGCATTTCCAGTATTCTGTTCTCTGTAATCATTTTTTACAGTCTAAAGTAGGGGTGTCGAACTCAATCAGAGAAGGGGCCCAAATCTAAAATCCAGCCTAAATCGCGGGCCGAATGGTTTACTGAACAGTCATAAACTGTCATTGTGATGGAAACGCAGCGGAGTGCAGTGATGACAGCGCTGTGCGGGCCACATTGCAAGGCCTGGCGGGACGGATTTGGCCCGCGGGCCTTGTGTTTGACACATGTGGTCTAAAGCATGGAGTGAAAGGACACACACATACAAATACAAATCAGGAAAAGGTCAACAGGATATGTGATAAAGCGTGGTCAGCTGTTACCTGCTTTTTTAAATTTATTTATTTTGGCTAATTCTCCCTTAAAAATATTTTTTCCATTGGTTTTTAGAAAGAGTAAAAGAAAAGAGAGGAGGGGGGGAAGAGAGGAACATCAATGTGAGAGAGGGGCATCAATTGCTTGCTTCCCGAACATGCCCCAACCGGGGCTGGAGATTGAACCTGCAACTGAGCTTGACCAGGAATCGAACCCACAGCCCTCCAGGTGCTCAGGCCAATGCTCTAATCACTGAACCATTGGCCAGGGCTGTGCTCTGTTTTTGAGTATCAGATTTTGGGTAAACTTAACTGCATTTCTTTACACTCATAGCTAGGGCACCTGAGTCCAAGCGCCCTTTTTGCATTGGAGCAAGTGGTTACTCTTAGTCTTAAGTTGTAGCTTTCTCTAAGCTACACCACAGCCCTGCTCAGCCAAACACAGCACCTCACTGCGATGGTAGCAATGCACGGTTCTGGGGCTTAATGAAGAGTAACCGCATTGAGAACATTCTGTGGGACCCAAGTTGACAACTTCTGGCCTGGAATGGGTTTCTCAGCCATGGTATGTTGACATTTGGGACCAGATCCATGGTCAGCAAACCACGGCTCGAGAGCCACTTGCGGCTCTTTGGCCCCTTGAGTGTGGCTCTACCACAAAATTCCACGGCCTGGGGGATTCTATTTTAAAGAGGTGGCGTTAGAAAAAGTTTAAGTTCAAAAAAATTGGCTCTCAAAGAAATTTCAATCGATGTTCTGTGGATATTTGACTCTGTTGACTAACAGGTTTGCTGACCACTGGACCAGATGGTTCACTGTTGAGCCGGGGTGGGGCTGTTCTGTGCACTGCAGGGCGTTCAGCAGACCCCTGGCTCCAGCCAGTAGATGCCAGGAGCACCCCCACCCGCACAGAGCTAACAGCTCTGGGTTCCCAGTAGGGACTGACTGGAGGAGGCTGCACAGGCGCTCGTTTTACTACAGATCTGCTCCAGCGCCTCTTCAGCAGCTCCCTCTCAGCACCTTGCCTGTGCGCTGCTCACTTTGTCCCTCCGCCGGCGCCTGCCCTTCCTCCCGGGTTCCGGGTAGAGGTGTTTCTGCTGCTGCTGCTGCTTTCCCTCCTGCTGCCAGGCAGCTCTAGTTTATCTGCCTCGGGTGCTGCAGAGCCCCCACGCAGTTGGCTCTCCCCGTCCTCACAGCGCTTCCAGCTGTCCTTGTTCTCCTTAAACACCTTCACTCGTCCTTTGTTCCTCATGTCAGCACCTGCCGTCGCCATCAGAGAGAAAGCAGTGGCTAATGGACAGCTGAGCTGCTCCTCACCCGGCTCCATGGCACTGCCTTCTCTCCTGTCTTCTCCCCCCCCCCCTCCCCTGTGCGGGTCTGCTCTGACTGCCCCTCCCCCCACCCTCCCCCTGTGCGGGTCTGCTCTGACTGCCCCTCCCCCCACCCTCCCCCTGTGCGGGTCTGCTCTGACTGCCCCTCCCCCTCCCCTGTGCGGGTCTGCTCTGACTGCCCCTCCCCCCCCTCCCCTGTGCGGGTCTGCTCTGACTGCCCCTCCCCCCACCCTCCCCTGTGCGGGTCTGCTCTGACTGCCCCTCCCCCCACCCTCCCCCTGTGGCGGGTCTGCTCTGACTGCCCCCCCCCCACCCTCCCCTGTGCGGGTCTGCTCTGACTGCCCCTCCCCCTCCTCCCCTGTGCGGGTCGCTCTGACTGTCCCTCTCCCCTCCCCTGTGGCGGTCCTACCCCCCCTCCCCTGTGCGGGTCTGCTCTGACTGCCCCTCCCCCCTCCCCTGTGCGGGTCTGCTCTGACTGCCCCTCCCCCTCCCCTGTGCGGGTCTGCTCTGACTGTCCCTCCCCCCCCCCCCCTGTGCGGGTCTGCTCTGACTGTCCCTCCCCCTCTGCGGGTCTGCTCTGACTGTCCCTCCCACCACCCTCCCCCTGTGCGGGTCTGCTCTGACTGTCCCTCCCCCCCCTCCCCTGTGCGGGTCTGCTCTGACTGTCCCTCCCCCTCTGCGGGTCTGCTCTGACTGTCCCTCCCCCCCTCCCCTGTGCGGGTCTGCTCTGACTGCCCCTCCCCCACCCTCCCCTGTGCGGGTCTGCTTCTGACTGCCCCTCCCCCCCCCCTCCCCTGTGCGGGTCTGCTCTGACTGCCCCTCCCCCTCCCCTGTGCGGGTCTGCTCTGACTGCCCCTCCCCCCCCTCCCCTGTGCGGGTCTGCTCTGACTGCCCCTCCCCCCACCCTCCCCTGTGCGGGTCTGCTCTGACTGCCCCTCCCCCCACCCTCCCCCTGTGCGGGTCTGCTCTGACTGCCCCTCCCCCCACCCTCCCCTGTGCGGGTCTGCTCTGACTGTCCCTCCCCCCACCCTCCCCCTGTGCGGGTCTGCTCTGACTGTCCCTCCCCCCACCCTCCCCTGTGCGGGTCTGCTCTGACTGCCCCTCCCCCTCCCCTGTGCGGGTCTGCTCTGACTGCCCCTCCCCTCCCCCTGTGCGGGTCTGCTCTGACTGCCCCGCCCTCCCCCTCTGCGGGTCTGCTCTGACTGCCCCTCCCCCTCCCCTGTGCGGGTCTGCTCTGACTGCCCCTCCCCCCACCCTCCCCTGTGCGGGTCTGCTCTGACTGCCCCTCCCCCCCCCCCCCCCCTCTGCGGGTCTGCTCTGACCGCTTCTCCCCCCCCACCCTCCCCCTGTGCGGGTCTGCTCTGACTGCCCCCACCCTCCCCCTCTGCGGGTCTGCTCTGACTGCCCCTCCCCCCACCCTCCCCCTGTGCGGGTCTGCTCTGACTGTCCCTCCCCCCACCCTCCCCCTCTGCGGGTCTGCTCTGACTGCCCCTCCCCCCACCCTCCCCTGTGCGGGTCTGCTCTGACTGCCCCTCCCCCCACCCTCCCCCTGTGCGGGTCTGCTCTGACTGCCCCTCCCCCCACCCTCCCCTGTGCGGGTCTGCTCTGACCGCTTCCCCCCTCCCCACCTCTTCCTCTGTCTGCTCATCAGCTTTCAGGCCCTTCCTGCTCCGTTCTCACAGCTCTCAAAACCACCTCCAGCCCCCTGTGGGATCTGCACCCCGTCCCCTCTTCTCCCGGAAGGGGAGAGGGAGAGCCCAGGTGCTGTTATGTCTGTCTGTCTGTCCGTCCATCTGTCACAAAGGCCTTGATAAGACAATAACACAATGAAATACCCACAGGGTTAACAGCCTGTGTGGAGCCTGGACTGACTCCGCTGTGGAGAGCACGCTCCGGGCTGCTGGCTCTGTGCATGGCCTTTCCTTCCACCTCCCGCATCCCTGTGCTGGCGCTGCTTTGGGGCCTCCCACTGTGTCAGGGTGACAGCTGCTCATCCTTCAGCTGTTAGCCAACTTGCCCTAGAAACTGAAAAACTCACCTTAGCCCTCTTTTCTTTAAAGGTCAGCCACATTTTTATAAGATAAAAATAGTTTCCATAAGCAGAGTGCTGCCCTGTGGATAAACATATGCCAAAGATGCCACTTTAAGAGCTAAAATGGGTCAGTCATCTGGCTGCTGGCCAACGTGGCCTGTGCTGCCCCCCCAGGGAGGGCCTCTTCACAACAGCGCCTGCTGCCAGCGCAGCGGGGCAGTGCTTGTCTCTGACCTTGAATAATCCGGGATCCTTTTTTGTTCGCCAGCTTCTTGCAGGGCACCAAGAGGCTGCAGAGCTGTGAAAGCAAGTCACCTTCACTGTAGACTCCTCCCTGCCCCTAGCAGCGTGTGGGGGGTAGGAGAGGAGGCGCCATGTCCCAGGCCTGGGGTTGTTCTTTACGTGCCGTGCGCCTCGCATTCTGTGTCGCAGAGTATTCTACAGGAATAAAGGGCTTGGTGAAGTCTGCTCTGCTTGTCCTTTCCCACGTCCCTGTCCTGAGCACACCTGCTTCCTTCCCGGAACAGCACTCCACCCTACATGGAGGGCCCTTCTCTGCTTTTGTGGGTATTTCATTGTGTTATTGTCTTATCAAGGCCTTTGTGACAGAAGGGGCTTCTTTGTGAGGTCAGACTGGCCCAGGTGTCACCCCTGAGGCGTCTGGATGCTTGTGGCCGCCTGCGAGCTGGCAAGGGTCCCTCTGACCATTGTTGTGGTTCCGTGTGAAATGTCCATGTTATTCTCCCTGCGTGTGTGTTTATAGCACCTTTCGTTTGCACGTCCTGATTCTATGTACACAGTGTTCCACTTACTGCTTCCGACGGCCACCCCGTGCTCCCCACCTCACCCCCACCCCGGCTCTCAGAGGGACAGCTGCCAGTCGGAAAGGGCATCTGCCCAGGTCAGACCATGGCAGTCCAGGGCTTTACCCGGAGGAAGGGAGTGGCCGGGCTGAGCTGGGGAGACAGGAGAGCTGAGGAGCTGGAAGCTGGAGGGTAAAGAGAAGAAGCAGGTGCAGGCAGTGTCACCACGATCCTCCAGCGGCCCCAGAGGGGGAGGGCTGTGTCAGAAGGGCGAGCAGGGGGAGAGGAAAGCTGCTGGGGTTCGTTTTCAGAAGAGAAGGGTGTGCTGTGGGGCGGCAGGGCAGCCACCTGACGGGTGGGGGTGGGGGCTAGGAAGCCGTGAGGGGCGGACAGTCACTGAAAATGGTCGGGCTTTTTGAAGAGAATTTCTTCTGGATTTTGACTTGTCTAGGGAAGGAAGGCGTTCTCAGTTTGTACCTTGGGAACCAGGTAGTCTTTGTTGTCCATTAGGCTGCCCCAGTGCAGGGGGCCAACACTTCCTGTTAAATCAACAAACCCAATAGGAGGAAAACCTATAGCTCAGGGTTAAAGGAAGGCATGCGCAGGAAATGCTCAGCTCTTGCCGCTTTAAAAACTAAATATGGGAGTATGCCATTTTGTTCTTCCTGAATGACCAGAAATAGAAAGAAAGGCAGGACAAAAATGGGGAAGCCAAAAATGCTGGCGAGAGTGGAAGGCAAGAGCCAAACCATTGTTGATCTCCAGGCCACTGCTGCTTGTTTACACTGCGGTCCCCGCAGACACTGCTCAAAGTTAGCAGCCCCGTCCCTGCACAGGGTGGCCTGTGGGAGGTCACCTGTCCCCCGGCCAAAGTCCATTGTCCACTACTTAGAACAGGCTGAGAGCCTTCCCACCCCCTTCCCCAGCACTGACCAGACCCTCGGTGTTCATGGTCTGCCCAGAAACCTGGGCCAGGCATTAGGCAGGTGCACCCTGTAAGGGAGGATCTGTCCTTGATGTCAAACCTAACGGGGTCTTTATCCCCAAAAAGAACAGAAGCCTGGTTCTGGTTCCGGTCTTGGTTGGATTGCAGCTAGCTGGGCACAGTTGTTAGCTCAGGGGTAGTCCCCACTCCGAGCACTCCAGGGCCTTCATCTCCCTCTGGGAGCACTCAGACAAAGATGGGAGGAGCAGGAAGTGGGCATGATGACGCCTTATGAACACATGTACAGGGTGTCCCCAGAGATGTATGCACACTTTGAACCATTCATTCCAACGGGTTAAATCTGAAAAGGGAAGAAACATTGGAATTGATAACGATTCAAAATGTGTTTACATGTTGGGGGGACACCCAGTATTTAGATCTCAGCTACTATTTGGTGACTTCACCTCTTCAGTACAATCCTTCAGATTGAAATGCAAGCCTTCAGGGATTGTCGGGTTCTGGCTCAGTGCGTCCTTGGCAGCTTCGGGTTAGATTGATAAATCGGTCTCCAAGAGCTTTCCTCTTACCGGAAATGGACGCAAGGCCGTGTGGGCGGTAGGTGGGTGGCTGTGCATAGTTCAGGCTGAAGCTGTCAGCACAGATAGTTCTTTCAAATCCAATTGAGGCAGTGAGTTTACAGCGCTTGTTTAAATAGCTGTATATAACTTTATAAGCTAGATACAAATTAACAAAGTTTTAAAACAGACCATGGTTCAATTTGGTATCTTTCTCAAAATTTCTTTCATCTTATCCCAAGACTCAAATTCCAGTTCCTCCCAAGGCGTCTGGAATGTGTGCATGGCCAGGCCCCGGCTCACACACCTGCATCTCAGCCCTCAGAACTGCCGTGAGGGGCACTGGAGCAGAACAGTGTTCGCTGTCGCTGCCTCACGCCTTTTCTCCCTCCCAAAGGACACAGTTCCTTTTTGGGGATTGTAAAACCCTCCATGCCTGACTAATTTCCAATCACCAGATTGTGACTTTCTACTCCTCTGAATAAGAGAGAATCACTTCCCCTCTCTGTCCCTGTAACATTACAGCTGAAACTGCTAGCTAAGTCTTATCTGATTCTGAAATACAGTTCATCCCTAAAAATAGTCCCAGCTACCCTGTAACTTGTACAGACATTTAGCATAAGGTTTAAGTAATGTTTAAATGACATTTAAACAGAGGTCCATGAAATTCTATATAATAAAAGGCTAATATGCAAATCGACTGAACGGCAGAACAACCAGTTGCCATGATGAGCACTGACCACCAGGGGGCAGACGCTCAATGGAGTGGCTGCCCCATAATGGTCAGTGTGCTCCCACAGGGGGAGTGCCACTCAGCCAGAGGCCGGGCTTATGGCTGGCAAGCACAGCGGCGGTGGCGGGAGCCTCTCCTGCCTCCGCAGCAGTGCTAAGGGAATTCTACTTACGGCTTAGGTCCGCTCCCCTTGGATGTCGTCAGTATTACCTCCCCCAAGGGCTCCCAGACTGCAAGAGGCACAGGCTGGGCTGAGGGACCCGTGCCCCTCCCCCCACCCCCTTGCATGAATTTTGTGCACTAGGCCTCTAGTGAATTAATAATGATACAGCAAGCTCTTTTCATTCAACTTTTATTTAATATCTTTTTGAAATTCTACTTTTCTGCTTTAACCATTACAGAGAACATAACTGGTTTATAAAGTGTAATTCATTGTCTTCATTCTTAATTTCCTAAGTTTTCTCAAATTTTTTGTGGAATTTGGTGGAATAAAAGACCAAACAGCCACTCAGACATGGCTGGAAACTTTTGTGGGAACTTGAGGGTCTGCTGAATCAAGTGATGAAGGCTTAGATCTGGATGTGTTGAGTTAGTATAGGGCTGGGGTGTTGACCTGTGAGTGCCTTGGGTGGGGCCTGGATGAGGCTGGTTGACCTATTTGGAAATGTCTTTTGTGTGAAATGTATCATTGGGCATATGGTGGTATTGATATGAGAAAATGCTAAGTAAGTGATTTACTATCGGAAAAGGGATTTACTATCGGGGAAAGGGAGGGAGGAAGAGACTGAACATAAACTGCACCTATGGATGAGGACAATGGGGGATGGGGAGGGGTCGGAGGGTGGGGTGGGAACCTGGTGGAGGGGAGAAGAAATGAGGAACCTTTGTAACAATATGAACAATAAAGATTGATTTAAAAAAAAAAAAAAAAAAAAAGACCAAACAGCCAAATGCTACTTATCAATTCCCACTATACAGTTTCATCAATATATAAAACTAGTGGCTCGGTGCACAGATTTGTGCCCGTTGAAAGAAAATTAATTAGAAATATTAAATCAATATTTTAATATCACTATTCACCCTTTCTCTATAATAGAAATATCAGAGATTAAAGAAAATTGGTAAAATGTATGTAAAAATATATATATAAATTGATTAATAACAACATATCTAAAAACAAAACATGATATTAATAGAAAAAACAAAAATAAAAACATGATACAAACCGAAGGACTTGTATACATGCATATAAGTACAACCAATGGACACAAAACTCTGGAGAGGGAGGGTATGTACGGGAGGGGGGAGGGCATTGGTATATGTACAAAAATAATAACTTAATAAAAAAATATATTTAAAAAAAAGAAGGAAAAACAAACAAAAAATGATACAAACACAACATTGATAAAAACAATGACTGATAAAGTGATTAAACTGATTCTAATGTCTCCCTGTACACCACAGTAAGAGTAAAAACACTCTCAGAGTGCTAGACTGTTTTCCCTGGTGGTGAAGTATTTACAACTTTAATGTCACAGGCTCTCTGAACTCAAGAGAAAAGCAACATATAACTGACCATGTCCAAAATATTTCTACTCTGTCTAGTTTGGCACCAGTGAGAGCTTTATATGCATCATGCATGCGTGAGTCAACATTTACTTTTAAATTGCCATTGTGCTTTGTATGTACTGGTCAGTCGGACAGACGGACAGTCGGTCACTTAGCCTTTTATATATTTATAGCTTGGGCTCGGGAGGTTTTCTGTCAGCTATATGTTAAAACAATTTCTTTGCACTCTGACCTAATATTCAGTATACAATTTCTGATATAATTCTCCATTTTCTTATAGGCATGTTTTCCACAAGTCCTGCGTGGATCCCTGGCTTAGTGAACATTGTACCTGTCCTATGTGCAAACTTAACATTTTGAAAGCCCTGGGAATTGTGGTATGTTGCCTGTTTTGTGTAGCTGAACAGCACACTGGCTCCGTGGCCAGCCGTGGTTGTGGGACAGCGCCTGTCTTCCAGCCCATCTCAGGAATCCCCCAACGAGAGGCCTGTGCTGTCCCCCAAGGGCGCCTCTGTCGCGTGGGGCATGTGGGGAAGAACTGGAAAAGGAACAGAATGTAGATGTTTGGCTTCATTCCAGTAGCAATTTTTCCTGCGTTCAGCATAATGTAAAACTATGTCATCACTTCTGTTCCTTTCTCTTGAATTGGCTTATTCTCCTGGGCGTTGGTACGTGGCAGCAGTGAAGGTGGGCGGTGGCAGCTCTGGGCGAACTTGACCTGCAGTGGCTTTGGTCTGGGCACAGAGCTCTTCAGCTCTGGCGGGCGAGTGGGCGCTAAGCTCGAGGACCTCAGAGACTTCCCACAGTTACGGTTCCTTCATTAAGAGAAGTATACATCCAGGAGTGTTGCTTTTTAGACAAAATACTTTCTGGTCTCAAAAAATAAGAGTGCCTGGATCATCTCCTTATGAGCAAAAAGTTCAGTTTGACCCAGCAGATGAGTCCCCATTGTAGCTTGGTGCTCAGCAGGCTGAGCACTCCTGTTCGGCATGTGCTCTCGGGAGACGGGGCAGTGCAGCCCTAAAGGGCCTTCCTCCCGTTTAGCCTCCTCCTCAGCGGTCACTGGTGGAGTTGAGCAGGGTGTTCAGCACCGTGGATGCTTGGACTGCCTCGCAGGGTCCCCAGCCTCGCTAAATGCCAGGAGCATGGCCTCCTGGTCACACTATAAAATGTCTCCAACATTGCCAAATGTCCCGTGGGGGACAAAGTCTCCCCCATTTGTGAGGTTTAACATAGCTGCTATAGTGTCTGCATGTGGAAGGCACTTTGGAAAATATTAACTTAGCCTCTTTGGTTGCCTCCAGCCTCCTTGGATGTTTTTTGTTTGTTTGTTTGTTTTTAATCCTAATTGAACTCCTAATACTTTTCCTCCGTCTTTAATGAAAATCCTCCTAAAGTGTATTATAAGCTACCAGGGTTCCTTGTATGTAAAAAATAAAATAAAAAATAAGCCTAACTGTGTCATTAAAAGCCCCAGTCATTACACTGTGCTCTCATGTTTTTAGTTGGCTTTGGAGTAATGTAGAACGAAATTTTTTGCCCAGGGAGCTATTTGTGAGGTTTGGTTGGCTGTCACTTCTCTGTTCATAAGCTTCTCTCGGCCACCATTCCCAGCCCTGCTTCTAACACGCTGTCTGCTATCGGCTAAAAAGATGAAGGTTGCTAGGGAAACCAAACATCCATATTGTTAAATCACAAGGCTTGCCTATCCGATTTTTATTTGGTAAGCTTTGGCCCCAAGGCAGCTCTCTGAGATTTTGAAACTGTTTTCTTACAGTTCAAAAGTCTTTTCAGCATTATTTGCTCTTGGTTTTAAGCTTTACTTACATTTAAAGGAGGAAGATATTTTGAAACCGATGACTAGATAAATGGGGCATTACAGAGAAGTTACTAGTATATTATCTGCTGTCCTTGAGCATTGTGCCAGTTACATCCTTGACTTTTGGTCAGCTTTATACTAAGACTAGAGGCCGGGTGCACTAATTCATACATGGGGGCAGGGGGGGAGGGGGGGGACTGGATGTTGGTTGTAGGAGTGCATTGACCACCAGGGGGCAGCTCCTGCATTGAGCATCTGCCACCTGGTGGTCAGTGCATGTCATAGTGACTGGTAGACGTGTCCAGTCATTTGGTCATGACAGTGACTTAGGCTTTTATATACATAGATGTGCTCTGCCTCTGAGCCACATCCACACGGTTCTTGTTTCTTTATAAACGTAATGTAATCCAATTTTCTCAGTTGTGCAATGGATTTTGGTTTTCCTTTGTACCCTTTTTGGGAGGAAATTACCTTGTTCTTTTTTCTTTTTTTCTTTTTTTACCTTTTTCTTTTAAAGAAGACCTCTTGGGTGAGAGTGGAAAAGGTATATGGAGAGAAAAATTAGAGGAAATCATGTGGAAAAAACTTGAAGTCATTTCAACACAGTGTCAAACCTTTAGAAATTGTCATTCTTACAAGTATTTCTAATCTGAAAATATTTTGCAGCCAAACTTGCCCTGCACTGATAACGTAGTGCTTGATATGGAAAGGCTCACCAGGACCCAGGCCGTTAACCGAAGATCAGCCCTCGCTGACCTCGCCAACGACAACTCCCTCGGCCTCGAGCCGCTTCGAACGTCGGGGATCTCGCCTCTCCCTCAGGACGGGGAGCTCACTCCAAGGACGGGAGAGATCAACATCGCAGTAACAAGTAAGTGGGCCCTGTGCCCAGCCAACAGCGGATTTGCTGCTGCTGTTTGGTGTGTTGACAGTTCAGAGGAGAGCTGAGTTATCACAGGCAGTGACTTAGTCTGTAACCGACGGTACTTCTGCTAAAACAGCTGTTGGAGATAAGAAACTTGCTTTATAGAAGAGACCTTGTGGAATTAAATGACTGGCTGCCCTCACCAGCACTTGTTGAGAGTTTGTCTCAGTGCTGTTTTTAACATGTTTTGAAGTGATGTGCTGCAGACAGGCATTTCACAAGGCCCTGCAGGCCGTGGGGAGGGTGACTGAGCACCAGGCTCCGGTTCCCAGCTGCACAGCCTCCTGAGAAGCTAACCCAGAATCTGACCTAAAAGTTCACAGCTTCAGGGTTAGCCGAGGTGGCCTCTTGCTGCTCCCCATGTTCCACACTTTGTAGGAAGTGTGGTCTCTTGGCACTCACCTCTTGGATGTGATTGTACACAAAGCAGGAGAAAAGCCAAAGGGAGTCTGCCTTGAGTACTCTTGGGCAAGTTGTGAATATCATCTTTGCCGAACCATTGACAAAGAGAAACAACTCAGCGTTTTGATGGCAGACTAAGTCCGTGTGAGTGCTGGGGGCGTGCGTGTGGCCTGTGGACACTCACCGTGGCCAGTCCACTGCTTTCTTCAGTTCTGTTCTTTCCTTGTGTTTTCATCTAACAATTCGTCACCTCATCTCATCACCACTCTGGTGCTTCCTTTCCCAGAATGTGCTATTGCTTGCCTCTAGCTTCAAGCCCTCAACCTAATGAAACTCTGCTTAACTCAGAATCAGCGCAGTAGTAAAGCTGTTAAGAAATATTTTTCCCTTCACTTAGTAAGACTCGTGTGGACTGTTCAATTAATGTATATATGTTTCTCAGCAACCAGAAATTATTAGAAAATGATTTGCCAGGTTTTATTCTATCATTTGTCTAAACTCAAAGAGATTTTGTTCAGTTATACAATAAGTAAAACTAGTCTTCCATATGGTTTGACTCATTTCTGACCATTTCCAAGTGATTTATTTTAACAGCACTTCATATTTTTCTTCGTTGGTATTTAGGTTTTATGTTCTACATTTTTTTAATTGATCAAGTAGTAAGAAAAGATGAAAGTTGTTTGTTTATTCATGAGTTTTTGTAGGCCTTTCATTGATCAACATTTATTGAGCACCTACTACAACATTAACTACTGATTATTCCATTATGTCTTATGTAGAAATGTCCTTTCACAATTTTCTATTTTGATGATAAAAGATACTACTTACTCAACAAATTAATCACCGTGAGAAGAATTTATGCATGCTAATAAATAAAATTCATGTGGTTAAATTATGCCACAGCTGCCTCTATTTGCCCTCGAAGCTCTGTAGCACCATAGTAACTACAATGCTTTCAGACAGCGCCCACTGTGTGCAAGGCACTGTGCTAACTACACTGTGGGGGTCAGAGGTGAGAGGCCCCAGCTGCAGTGCACCTTTGCTAACATACTCCTGAGCCCTCCGGCATTGTTACGATATAGGTGTTTTTTTCCTTCTGATTACTAGTTTTTGTCACTGAAAGTCCATGCATATGTGGATGGTACACTCAGAAATCAAAAGCATGGACATTGAAGTTCTAAAAGTTAGTCTCCTTTCCTTGTATAAAAGTCTCTGAGTAGAAAAAATTCAAAATGCTGTGTTAAGCTTCTTGATACTGATGACCAATTATCTCTTAATTTTTTTTTAAATACCAGCATACATTTTCCTAACTTAAAATATATGCATGTAAAATAGTGCATTTTGTATGGGTTCTTGAATGTTTATTTTTACTTAAAAACCTCATAAATTCACTCTAATGAGAAATCTATAATCCAAGGAGCAGTGGCTGCATTGTTATTTAAAAAGAATGACTTTGCCAAGTCTTTTGGTAATCTAAACTAACTTGGGCAGAGAATTAAAGATCACCATTTTTAAAATCCAGTGAAAGTAGAATCATCTTCTTCTAGAAAAATTCCTAGGCACACACTGTTTTTGCAAAGTTGTAAGATTCATGAAAACAAGATTGAGAAACAACCAAGTTGCACACAGCTTTTGCTTATAAACAACTATCATTTCAAGCAGGAATCTCTTTTGTCTGCCTTAATGCAGATATGTAGGAGTTTACTGTGTGATACTTGGTTAAGCCAGTCCTAGTCAGTGTATACTCCAAAAAACATTTTAGGACATCAGATTGGTTCTCAGGTTATTTTCAAGGTTCTCAGTAAATACCGTATTTGGAAAGTTGCAATATAGACTTTGAAATGTCAGGGAAAATATAAACTGACTTCCTGGACCTAAAGTGAGACTAGATAAAAATCCTTAGGGTTCTGTGTGCCAGAGGCTTTCAACTCTGTGCTGGGCCACGTATCTTGTGAATCACCTACCTTCCTCCTAAAGCTTGGCAGAGCCAGACCAGCCGGTGCCACGTCCAGCACTGAGGGGGTAAGGGCAGTCCTCAGGAGAGCCTGTGCTTTCTAAGTAAAGACTCGGAGTGACCCACGCGTAAAGGAAAGACAGTAGAAGCAGATGCCGTGGAAGGCCACCTGCAGACTGCCCACAGGACCCGGAACCACGCGCCATATTCCTAAGCCATCCTCCAAGAACGAATGGCATGACCGTGCAGAAGTGACAAATGAAGAAGGAAAGGTCTCATGTATGGCTAGTCCACTTCACTATCACTTAATTTAACAAGTAAAGAACTCTGCATCCATGTGCAGTTTTATCCACATATTTTCACTACGCGGTTGTTGATGGCCACACTTCTCACAGACCACAGGACCTGGACTGAAGACGTGTGTGGGCCGTACTTTCCTCTCTCCCTGCAGCTTTCACCACTCCTCCACTAACCTCTCCAGTCAGTAGCTCTCTGGCAACCCTCCTCCTGCTTCACCTCCTTGAGCCAGTCTGGACTCACACCTCCGTGATGTCTGCGTCGTTGCTTTTGAGGGAATGTTACATCGATTTGACTTAAGCCTTCTCCCCTGAGTGATTTCCTCCCTTTCCTTTGTCAACAGAAGAATGGTTTATTATTGCCAGTTTTGGCCTCCTCAGTGCTCTCACACTCTGCTACATGATCATCAGAGCCACAGCTAGCTTGAATGCTAATGAGTAAGTAACAAATTGTTTTTTGGATTGCATGTGCCAGATCCCAGGAAAATAGGTAGAGGAACTTTAATAAGGTGGTGAGAATTGAGAAAAGGTCCAGGGCTTCTCATTAGCCACAAGGTTAGAGTGAATCAGCGATGTGAAGCTAATGCCAAGGGCACCAGTACAACTGAAGGGTAAAGACGTTGGTGTCCTGATCACTGGCAGGAACAGCCCCCTCTAAAGGCCACACTCCTGTCGGACGTCACCTGGTTTAATGCACGGGGCTTTGAGTGGCACACCGGCACCCTGGCCGGCAGTCCAGGAACAGGGATGCCAATGATTAGCCTGCACGAAAGAGGCAGAGATGCAATCAGGAAAACTGTCAGGAGTAAAGGGAGGAGGAAATAACTGTAAAATGTGTCCATAGGCAAAATGAGGACCACAGAGCAGGTTACAGGAAGGCAAAAGGAAGAGTGTCTGTCGGAGGCTACTTACCAGTGAGGTGGTTCGCTGTGGGGAGTGCCCAGGACAAGGAGGCTGGATGTCACTTGTCAGGGCTGCTGTAGGGAGAGGTTTTCAGAGGATAGAACATTGGGTTAGATGACTGTTCCAGTCCATTTTGACCCAGTGATTTTCCAAGGTTAGCTTTCCATAGGGGTAAGATATAGAATATAGTTTTGGTTTGGTTTTGTTTTATTTGGGCATTTACTGTAGGATAATATTCAATCATTTACCAGTATTCAGGCAAACTAATTCAAGACGGGAGCACCCCTGGGACACTGCCCAAATCTATAATAATAAAAGCATATGCTAGTTGGTCCAGACAGCTGTACGACCTTCCAGACCTTCCAGACAAAGCCTGGCTGCGAGGGCCAAGCCCCTTCACGCATTTGTGCGTTGGCCGCTAGTCTGAACACAAACGTACCGGTGGTTCACGTGCTGCTCACATTCAGTTATGTCTGCCGTGTCACAGCCAAGCTCATGTAAGGGGTTCAAATAAATGCTCATTGTTCGGCTATAGAAGCTATGGACAAGAACCCCCATTCAGTGACATGATTTTATCATCTCACCTGGTCCGCTGGCTAGATGCTTGTAGGAAGTGCCTTGGCATTCCTGAAGGATGCCTCCAGAGTATGCATTCTTCAACCCTCAAATCCTTCAGCCTCAGCCACAGGTCAGGAGCCGGCTGTTTCTGTTGGGCCCAGCTGGCGCAGTTTTACTGCAGCACAGCGTTAACTGCTCGTGTTCAGGAGGCGACATACCTGAACATGATTCCCTGAGCGGGGAAGTTATGTTTATCTGAAGCTCATCTCAGTCCTTCCTAAAACAAGGATAACGGTAGGAGTGCATCGTAGGTCCTTGTGAGGATTAGCACCTGAAGTGTTCAGCACAGTGCCTGGTACTAATAAGTGCTCAATAAATGTTAGCCACTAGCTCCGCTGAGATTTTTAAGTTCTGTGAGTAAGATCGCCATCTGCCTTTATCATTTTCTTTCATGAAATAGATTACAGAGTCATAAGAGCTGTGTGAATGACTGTGATTCAAACCACAGTTTGGAGGGAAATATTTGTTTCACCTGCAGTCACCTCTTTTGCCTCCTCCAATGCTGCCCCATCAGACTAAATCAGTGGTCGGCAAACCGCAGCTCGCGAGCCACATGCGGCTCTTTGGCCCCTTGAGTGTGGCTCTTCCACAAAATACCACGTGCGGGCGAACGTACAGTGCGATTGAAACTTCATGGACCATGCGTAGAAGTTGTTTTCGGCCTGAGGGAGTCCATTTATTGAAGAAGTGGCGTTAGAACACTCAAGGGGCCAAAGAGCCTCATGTGGCTCTCGAGCTGCGGTTTGCCGACCACTGGATTAGGTAATTTCACAAATGAGTGAAAACTAGTCACAGCAAATAGTGTCGCTATGAGCACTTTCAGAAAGTTTTAAAGTAATTTAATGGTCACCTTGCAGTCCCTCAGAATCAGCAGATGCTCAATTCATACATCAGATACTTTAGATTAGAGAATGCTCAATGGGCATGTTACCTTTAGACACCAAAGTACCGGAGACATCATATTTCCATTCCATGCATAAATGCCTGCATGACTTAGACTAAGTCATAGATCTTAGATCCATGTCTTAGTCCCACCTTTCTCCCATTAGCCTTGATGCTGCAGTTATTCATTTGAATATTATTTCTGTGCCTTCAATCAAAACCATCCTGAAAGATGATTTTCATGATCCCATTTAAAGAGAGAAATTGAGAGAATGTGAGAGAGTGTGGGGAGATGCATGAAAGATGGTCACCAGAATATTAATGGTGAATCTTAATTTAGTTGACTTATGGTGTTTTTCCCTCCTATTGTGCTTTTATGTGTTGATTTTTTATAGCATGAATTACTTAATTTTTAAGAGCCTTTTTAATTGTAGGAGATAAAAATCACTCAATGTCTCTTTCCCCAAAATGCTGATAAAAAATTTTAATTCCAGGGAAAAGTTTATTTTAGCAAATAAATTTGTAAGTATTCTTCATTAATGAATTTTTTACAATCTATCTTACTTCCCTTTTTGCCTTTACCAAAAACTTACAACCAAAATGAGAATGCAACTTAATAGTTCGCTTTTAATTTTCTAGGTAACCTCATTCATTTGTAAGATAAACTTCTATTACAGTTTACTCTTCCGACAGTGTGACACCGAACTTATGTTGTGATTTAAACCAGATCTAGACCCAGTCCGGTCACTTGTGAAAATCTGTGAGCAAGATGAAGCCACACTGTCCAGATGAAAGGGCGGGCATGTGGCGTCACCTGGCGGGCCTGGGCTTCCCCCACAGGGGAGGATTGCTGCCCCCAGGGCTGAACGCAGGGTCATCTCCCTCACCACTCTGCAGGGTTACCCAGGGCTCGACGCTATTGGCTTAATCAAAAGTCAATCAAAAGTCCATCACAACAGGTCACTCCTGTTGTGATGAAATATTCCAGGTACTCAACCGTCACCAGCTGTGCTTTTTAATTGTTTAACATTGCAAATCTAGTGAATTTTGAGACTTTGCAATGTAAACAGGATAGTAGTCAAAGAAGTAAATAAACCAGGTAAATGTATTTTTATGAATTTGAGTTTCATGCCTCTGTTTCTTAGTACCTAAGTAGAAAGGTTATTGAAGTTCCGTTTCTAAGGAGGCTTTCTCCTCTACCTCATTATTCAATGAGTCTTGGTAAAGCCTAGCTTTACAGGCTTATGTTTGTATCTAGCTGATTTCCTCTCAACAGAAGAGAAGTAAATATTCTTTCTTTTTCTTTTTTTGGAACAAGTTATAAGTAAAATCTGTGGGTGATGTAGGAGAGAGTTTGAGTTGAATGGAAGGATGAGTTAGATAGTCTCTACAGCCCATTCTCAGTTCCTAGACTTGGATTCATGGAAATCATGTCCTAAAATTTGCAGAGGAGTGTAACCCAAACTTTTGAGATTAAAACCGTCTCAGCAGGAGGAATACGTCAGCTGTGGTTAGCATGCTGAAGGGACAAATGTCAAATCCTGTAACACTGCCCCAGACCCCACCACCAGCTCTGCAGCAGGCACGTGGCCTGGGCTGTCTCCCAGTACCCCTCCTGAGCTGTCCTCCAAGGAGTCATGATAGAAGCGTCTAGACCAGATCAAAGGAGTCGAGGTCTCTGGTTTACACTCCACTCAACATTTCTGAATTGTTCTGCTCAGGCTTTAAGAGGAACACAGACGTGTCTCAATATAAAAGGGTCTGAAGATTCAAGATTTGATGTCTTGGGAAAGCATAGCTTAGAAAAAGAGGAACCTGGGTGAGATGAAAGCGGTCTCCAGGTGTTGGAAGAATTCCCAAAGATGAGACTAGCCCCTACCAAGACCTTCCTTACTCCTGTCCTAGGCTGTCACTCCCACCTGGCCCCGTTAATACTCCGAACAGCCCCCCAGAGCATACCCAGGACCCACAGAGCAGCACTTGCTGCGACATCTTCTGGAGACATCACAGGGAGGTAGATTTCCACTCGACGTAATTCTGTCCTTCAGAATTGTCCCCGTGACATGGCATGTCTTGAAGGCTAGTGGGCTCACCAGGACCTGCTTATCAGACAGAAGCTGCAAAGCTGGAGCTATTCAGAGACAGGTCCTGCCTCAGGCGGAAGTCTCAGGTTCTTTTCAGTTCTGAGAGTCCCTCCTGAGCTGAGATCCCAAATGGGCCCTTCCCCAGACGACCAGAGCCAGAGGAAGGGGGCTTCTTAGACCATCTCCCTGTGAGATCCATTCTGCATTGTGACCCAGGACTCCGGTTTGCAGCTGGGGCAGAAACTTCGTAGGGTTTTCCTTATTCATGCAGTACTCTGATCAGTTCAGTACTTTGTTGTTAATGCTAGTCGTGAGCTCATACATTGACTTACAATCCACTGATAAGTTTGAAAAACACTGATCTTAAGAGCTTTGAATTTTTAGTTTTCAACTTTTTGCTCACACTAGCACCCGTCTTTGTTTATCTTTCTGAGAGAGCCTTTCTTGTAGCAATGCCAGCGGAGATTTGAACTTGCCCGAGCTGGTTCATGGACCCTCCCTCTTCTTCATCTGAGTATTTTCTTTTCCTTGTAGCCTCTCTGAGCCTGAGATACATACAGAGGAGTGACCTAAGGCCTATATGGCCTAAGTGGCCCCAGGAAATGCCGTCGGAAGCAGAGCACGGCATTAAGACCGGAGTTTCTGGGTCAGTCCTTCCCTCACCGCTTGTCTCTGGCTGCTCCAGAGGCCATGTAAGGCTCCAGCCTGTGTGGGTGAAGATGACGAATTTGGTTTTCAAAAGCATTATGGCAAAAAGAGGACTAAAAGGAGAGGGACCTTTGATTGGACTTCTGTTGGCAGTGGACTTTTCTTTTTTTCAGAAGTACCTTTGCCGGGACCGGTTTGGCTCAATGGATAGAGCGTCGGCTTGGGGACTGGGTTTGATTCCGGTCAAGGGCATGTACTTTGGTTGCGGGCATATCCCCAGTAGGGGGTGTGCAAGAGGCAGCTGATCGATGACTCTCTCTCATCGATGTTTCTAACTCTCTATCTCTCTCCCTTCCTCTCTATATAAAATCAATAAAATATATATATTTTTAAAAAGAACTACCTTTAATGTTATGGCTGCATTAGTTTATAATAAGTAAGTTTAAAAAATTTTATTCACCCATTCAAAGCCCTCCTATCTGATATCCGGCTTCTCTTAGGACATATGATTAAAACAAGTCTCTTACATGTGCACAGAGCCCAGCGCGCTCAGGGAAGCGCTGTGAATGGTGTCTCATTGTTCAGATGCCAGTGTGCTCTGCATGCCAGCTGAGCGCCTGCCACCGGGAATGAGCTCCGTGCTCGGTGTCTCACAGTGAGGTGCCTCCACTTTCCCGGCGGGGCTGAGGGGCTTCCGGGAGGGAGTGACGGAGCCAGGCTGGGCATATAATTGGCCACAAAGTGAGGAGAAAGCAAAGCAGTTGAGGGAGTTGTGAGATTGATGTGTCTACTGTGGGTGGCAGAGACGGAACGTGCTCCTGACTCCCCCGGGAGCACTCTAGAATGAGACAGTCTGTAGAATTTGAACATTATTCTTGTAACCGGTGGGTAATGTGTAAGGCTTTTCAGCAAAAAGTAACTCCTGGTGGCTAGAAGTTGCTCCAGTGTGGTAGACTGGAGGCAGTAAGATCAGTGAGGTAAAAATGCAAAATTGAATGAGGAAGTCAGGGTGATAAGGGAGGAGATGAAATCAAGAAATGTTAGCAAATTGTATGGTAACACAGGTCATGGTTTGATGTATGGACATGGAACTCAGCAAAGAGGAGAGAGAACAGAGCTGGGGACCTGATGTGGGAACTGGAGGTGAACCAGACCCGCAGGGTTCGAAAGGAGGGCAGCCCATAGGCCGGCCTCAGTCAGGCAGCACCAGCTGAGGGCAGTGAGGGAGCAGCAAAGAGCCTGAGACCCCTCAGACACCTGATGAAGGCACACACACCCCTGATCTGGGGAGTTCCTCTAGGAGCCATACATCACTAGGCATCTGTGCTCTTTAAATATTATTTCAGAATAAATAATGGCATTCGTGTTTGAGGAAAAAGGAGGAGTATGTTTTAAGAACTACAGCGACAGATTGCAGAACTCTCAGTGTGAGTGTGCATTCAAACCAGGAAACATTCAGTGTGGAGTTGTCCCCGCCTTTTAAACAAGAAGCTGCTAGCCTGCACGTCCCCGCATTTCTTTGGGAACTAACACTCAGGTGACCATGGGTGAAGCTGCTGAGTTCAGGGAAATGCTGACGGCTGACTGGCTTCCCAGTAGGCTTGGGAAATAGCGGGGCTGCCCGAGGCCACTGCCAGTCAAGATCCCTTTCTCTGTTATTTTAAAACTGACAACTACCCTGTACCTAATGCTTGACCTGTCTCTTTTCCTTTTATCCCCTAGGGTAGAATGGTTTTAAAGAAGAACAAACTGCTTTCTGACTGATTGCCTTGAAGGGAAAAAAGAACCTATTTTTGTGCATCATTTACCAATCATGCCACACAAGCATTTATTTTTAGTACATTTTATTTTTTCATAAATTGCTAATGCCAAAGCTTTGTATTAAAATAAATAAATAATAAAATGAAAAGGCTGTGCTGTTGCGTGTTAATTGCCCACTTGTGTTTGGAAGGCAGATTGGGGATCACGTGCCCAGATTTCTGCTTCAGAGACAGAATGTGCTTGTGACTCCCCCTGGAGGAGCCGTGTCCCTCTCTCTGTTGGCGTTTTCATGTCGGCTCCTCTGTGCCCAAACAGATCCCAGCCTGGGCACCTGGGTGTGGTAATGCCTTCGGGGCTCTTCAATGTCACCATTCACTCTCCAATCACAGCTTGTTCCCTTGTTTGTGGTTGATATCCCTCCAGCCACAGCGGCAGCTCCAGGGCAGGGACAAGACAGTGCATCGCCTGCCACTATCCACCGACCTAGCGGAGTGCTTTGCACATAGTAGGTGCTCAATAAATACTTGTGGGATGAAGGGTTGAGTGTAAGAAAAAATCTCCAAAATTCACACTGATTAATAAGTCTGTCTGACTTTTTTAAATCTAGTTTTTACAGCATTTTAAATATAGCAAATTCTAAAAAGTTGGATGAAAGCAATTTTACATATATAATTGGAATATTTTTGCTTTATTGATGAGGAAAATGTTGAAATATTTGTTATATTGAATCATATGAGCTTGAAGAATTACCAGTCTATGTCTCACCTGAGGATATTTTTTCCATTGGTGTTTTTGGAGAGAGTGGAAGGGAGGGAGGGGAGAGAGAGAAACATCATTGTGAGAGAGAGACGTTGATGTGGCTGCCTCCTGCACACGCCCCAACTGGTGACCCTTCAGTGCACAGGCCAATGCTCTACCACTGAGCCACACCGGCTGGGGTCATATGTGTGACATTTTGAGCACTGAGTTCTCAGCCTTCCACCTCAGCATACCTGAGGATGCAACATGTTCCCGTTGGTAGTAGGTTCTTTCAGTAGTCACGCTCAAATTGGTAGGCTGGGTTGAATATTTTTTTCTTTTAGCTGTAATCCACATACCATAAAATTCACCATTTTAAAGGGTAAGTCATTTCAGGGGTTTTTAGTATACTCAGAAGGTTGTACAACCATCAAACTGTCTAACTATGTAGCATTTTCATCACTCAAAAATGAAATCCTATACCCATTAACAGTAACCTCTCACTAATTCACATTCTGTCTCTAGATTTACCTACTGTGGACATTTTCTATAAATACAATTATACAGTATGTGGCCTTTTAATCCTATTAATAAAAACCTAATATGCAAATCGACTGAATGGCGGCACAACCAGTTGCTATGATGCTCACTGACCACCAGGGGGCAGACGCTCAAACCAGGAGCTGCCCACAGTCCACAGGTCCTGACAGGTGGCAGTGGGGGGTGAGGCCAGCAAGCGGGCAGTGCCAAGCTAGCCAAGGCAGGTGCCAGTGGGAGCCCTTCAACCAACCATCAGTCACCCCACAGATCAGCCCTGATCACTGGCCAGGCCTAGGGACTCTTATCTGTGCATGAATTTCATGCACCAGATCTCTAGTGTATATATTTTTTTAATTGATTTTTTATTGATTTATCCTTTGATCTCCCTGCGAGATCTACAATAATAATCTGCTTCATGTTGATATTTACTGCTGTGTTGCTGACAATTACCTGAAAGAGTAGTTGGGGTGCTTTCACTGGGCTGGAAAAAGTTTAGCTATATCAGAAAGCAGGTCTAATTAATCAAGTTTTTATTCTATAGCTATAAAAGGCTAAGTCGACTTGCGTATGCGCAATACATATAAAGCTCTTGCTGGCACCAATCACAGGTGTGTGTTTCCATCTGTCATTGTTGATCATGAATTTGGTTGACACTTCTATTATAGAGAAAGGGCGAATAGCGATATTAAAATATTTCTTCTAATTTCCTTTCAATGTGCACAAATGTGTGCACCAGGCCACGAGTACATAGATAGTTAACTATTTGTATTCTATTAGTTTCAGATGTAGTTATTTGACATTTATATGCCTTACACTGCTCATCATACTAAGTATAGTAACTATCTGTCACCATGCTAACTTATCACCATTGTTGACTGTATTCCCCTTCACCTTTTTCACCCATCCCCTCTGACAACCATAAGTTTATTCTTTGTTTCTGAATCTGTTTTTGTTTTATTTGTTATGCTTTTTTAAAAAATCCACTTATCAGTGAAATGCAGTGTTTATCTCTCTCTTATTTCATTTTGCATAATACCTACTAGGTCCATCTATGTTGTCTCAAATAGCAAATTTTCATTCTTTAATTGCTGATTAATTTTCCATTGTGTATATATACCATATCCTCTTCATTCCTCTATCAATGAACACCTGGTTGCTTCCGTATCTTGGCTATTGTAAATAATTCTGCAGTGAACATAGTGCTGCATGTTTTTTCAAATTACAATAGTATTTTTGTTTTCTTCAGATAAATATCCAGAAGTGGGGTTGCTGGGTCATATGGTAGTCCTATTTTTAGTTTTGTGAGGAACCTTTATACTATTTACCCTAGTGCTGCACCATTTTGCAGTCCCACCAGGCATGCATGAGGTTTCCCTTTTCTCCACAGCCTCACCAGTGCTTCTTTGTTGACTTATTGATGGTAGCCATTGTGACGGTGTGAGGTGATTCCTCATTGTGGTTTTGATTTGCATTTCCTTTGATGATTAATGATGTTGAGCATCTTTTTGCTTATCTCTCAGCCATATGTATGCTTCTTTAGAGAAATGTCTATTCAGGTTACTCTGCCCATTTTTTACTTAGATTGTTTGTTTGTTTTTTAGTGGTAAGTTGTATGAGTTCCTTACATATTTTGGATATTGACCCCTTAGCAGATATATATATTATTGGCAAATATATTCCCATTCAGTAGGTTGTCCTTTTGTTTTATTGATGGTTTCCTTCGCTGTGCAGGAACTTTTTAATTTTATAAAATCCCATTTATTTATGTTTGCTTTTATTTCCCTTGCTCAAGGGGACATATTCATAAAGATAATTCTAATATCGATGTCAAATAGTTTATTACCTGTTTCCTTCTAGGAGTTTTATGGTTTCAGGTCTTACATTTAAGTCTTTTAATTCATTTAGAGTTTACTTTTGTATATGATACTAGACAGTGGTCCAATATTATTTTATTTCCTTGCACATGTCTGTACAGTTTCCCCAGCACCACTAGTAGAAGAGACCGTCATTTCTCCATAGTATATTCCTGCCCCCTTTGTCTTCAATTAATTGATCTTATAGGCAAGCATTTATATCTGGGCTCTGTTTTTGTGCCACGACCATATTATTTTGATTATTATAGCTTTGTAGTAGTTTGAAATCAGGGAGCCTGATATCTCCAACTTTGTTCTACTTTCTCAAGATTGCTTAGCTATTTGTGGTCTTTTGTGATTCCTTATAAATTTTAGGATCATTTGTTATACTTCTGTTAACTTAAAATGCCATTGGTATTTTGAAGGGATTACATTGGAATCTGTAGCCTGCTAGGTGGTCATTTTAACAATATTAATCCTTATAGTCCATGAGCACCGTATATTTTCCATTTATTATTTCCTCTTTATTTTCTTTCTTTAGCATCTTACAGTTTTCAGAGTACAGATCTTCCACCTCCATTAAATTTATTCCTATTATTTTATTCTTTAGATGCAATTGTAAATGATGAAATTGTTTTTGTAATTTCTTCTGATGATCATTCATTATTTGTATGACATATTTCTGTATATTAGTTTTGTATCATGCTACTCTACTGACTTCATTTCTTCTGTTAATTTTTTGGTGGATTCTTTAGGGTTTCTATACATAGTTTCATGTCATCTGCGAATAATGACAGTTTTACTTCTTCCTTTCCATTTTAGATGGCTTTCTTTTTCTTATCTTGTCTGATTGCTGTGGCTAGCACTTCCAGTACTGTACTGAATAAGAGTGGTATGAGTTGGCATCCTTGTCTTGTTCCTGATCTCAGAGGAAAAGCTTTCAGTTTTCACCACTGAGTATGATGTTAGTTGTGGGATTGGCCCTTATCATTTTAGGTAAATCCCTTCTGTACCTATTTATTTTAGAACTTTTATCAGAGATTAATGTTAAATTTTGTTAAATACTTTTTCATATGATTTTTATCGTTGGTTTTCTTGATGTGATGTATCACATTAATTGTTTTGTGGATATTGAACTGCCCTTGCATTCCTGATATAAACCCCACTTGATCATCATGTAAAGGCTTTTTAATGTATGTTGAGTTGGGTTTGCTAGTATTTTGTTGAGAATTTTTACATCTATGTTCATCGGAGATCTGGGCCTGTAATTCTCTATTTTTTACCTGATTTTGGTATCAGGTTAATGCTGTTCTTGTAGAAGGAGTATAGAAGCCTGCCTTATCAATTTTTTTGAATAGTTTGAGAAGGATAGGTATTAATTCTTTAAATTTTGGGTGGAATTCACCTGTGAAGCCAACAGGTGCTGGCTTTTGTTTTTGGTAGTTCTTATTGTTTCAAGTTCATTGCTAGTATTTGGTGTGTTCAGATTTTCTGTTTGTTTCTGATTTAGTCTTCGAAGGTTGTATGTTGTTAGAAATGTATCCATTTCAGTTGTCCAATTTGTTGGCATATAATTGTTCAGTGTTCTTTAATGATCATTTATTTCTGCGATGTTGATTGTAATCCCTCTTCTTTCATTTCTAATTGTATTTATTTGAGCTCTTTCTCTTTTTTCTTTTTAATGGCATATATATGTGATCTATCCTAGAAAATGTTCTATGTGCATTTGAGAAAAATGTGTAATCTGCAGTTGGGGATGAAATGTTCCTTGAATATCTATTAAGTCTGTCTAGTCAAATGTGGCATTTAAAACCATTATCCCTTGTTAATTTTTTGTGTGGATGATCTATCCATTGATGTATGTGGAGTATCAAATTCTCCAACTATTGTATTACTGTTAATTTCTGCCTTTATGTCCATATATACTTGCACTTATGTTGGGTGTATATATATTTATAATTGTTATATCCTCTTTTTGGGTTAACTCCTTTATAATTATGTAATATTCTTTTTTAATATATTTTATTGATTTTGTACAGAGAGGAAGAGATAGAGAGTTAGAAACATCGATGAGAGAGAGTCGTCGATCAGCTGCCTCTTGCACACACCCCACTGGGGATGTGCCTGCAACCAAGGTACATGCCCTTGACTGGAATCAAACCCGGGACCCTTCAGTCCCCAAGCCGACGCTCTATCTATTAAGCCAAACTGGTTTCGGCTATGTAATATTCTTTTGTCTTTCTTTTTAATATATTTTTATTGATTTCAAAGAAGAAGAGAGAGGGAGAGAGAGATAAAAACATCAGTGATAAGAGAGAATCATGGATCTGCTGCCTCCTGCTCGTCTCATGACGGGATCGAGCCCACAACCTGGGCATGTGCCCTGACTGGGATTCAAACTGTGACCTCCTGGTTCATAGGTTGATGCTCAACCACTGAGTCATGCCAGCCAGGCTCTTTTTACATTCTTTGATTTGAAGTCTGTTTTGCCTGATATGTGTATTGCTACCCCAGCTTACTTTTATTTCTTCCTGCATGGACTATTTTTTCTGCCCCTTCACTTTCAGTCTAAGTGTTTTGTTTTGTTTTATAAAGTGAATCTCTTAGAAGCAGCGTGTAGAAGAGTCTTGTTCATTTATCCATTCATTCTTTTGATTGGAGCATTTACATTTAAAACAATAATTGAGCCAGGCCATTGTGGCTCAGTAGTTGAGAGTCAAACTATGAACTAAGACGTCACTGTTCGATTCCCGGTCAGGGCACATGCCTGAGTTGCCAGCTCAATTCCCAGTAGGGGGCGTGCAGGAGGCGACTGATTGATAACTCTCATCATTAATGTTTCTCTCTCTCTCTCTCTCTCTCTCTCTCTCTCCTCTCTCCCTTCCTTTCTGAAAAATCTATTTTAAAAATTAGTAATAATTGATAGGTATGTGCTTATTTTGTTAATTTTTTTGGCTGTTTTGTTCTCTGTTTCTTTCTTCTCTTAATTCCTTTCCTTTTGATTTGCAGATATTCTTTAATGTTTTGTTTGGTTCCTCTATATTTTTTGTAGGTTTTTGGTTTGTGGTTACCATGAGGTTCATACATATACATCTATATATATAGTTATACATATATACAACAGTCTATTTTAAGCTGATACATATTCTATTAATATATATTTTTGTTTTGTGTATCCCTTGACTATTTAGTTATAGTTAATGTTGCTACTTTTGTCTTTTAACCTTCATATTAGCTTTGTAAGTGGTTGATTTACTGTGCTTGTTATATATTTGCCTTTACCATTGAGGTTTTTTTCTTATACTTATTTCTGGTTATGACCTTTTCTGCATAAAGAAGATAGTTTCACATTTCTTGGAAAGCCAGTTTAATTGTGATGCAGTTTGTTAGTTTTTGCTTATCTGGGAAACACTTTCTTCTTCAGTTCTGAGTGATAACTTTGCCATAGAATATTCTAGATTGTAGGTTCCTTTCTTTCAGCACTTTAAATATTTCCTGTCACTCCCTGTGGCCTGCACAGTTGCTGCTCAGAAATCAGCTGATAATAGCCTTATGGGATTTCCCTTGTATGTGACTTGTTTCCTTCTTGCTGCCTTCAAAATTGGTTGTGTGTTTTTTTATCTTTAACTTTTGCCATTTTAATAACAGAATGTCTTCATGTGAGCCTCTTTGGGTTCATCTTGTTTGGAACTCTCTGTGCTTCGTGAACCTGGATGTCTGTTTCCTGCCCAGATTAGGAAAGTTTTCAGCCATTATTTCTTCAACTATACTTCTGCCCCTTTTCTAATTCCTTCTGATATGTTCTTCATTTCAGTTACTGTTTTTTTCATCTATGATTGGCTCTTTGTTGAAGTTGAGCTCTTTATTGGGCATAGTAGTTATCTCTGTTTAATTAGTGTTTTTCTCCAGTTATTTTTGTTTATTCATTTGAGGGATGTTGTTCTGTCTCCCATTTTTCGTTTGACTTTCTGTTTTTGTTCCTAAGGGTTTGATGAAATAGCTCTCTCTCCCAATTTTGCCAATGTGGTCTCTATATAGACTGTGTGCCAGATGGTTTGAGTAGGCTGTTCCTAGGCAGGGTGGGTGCATGTGGGTACCTGGTGTGCTGTGTGGCCAAAATGAGTGGGTTCCGGGTTGGGCAGCCTGGTGTGTGCCTCCTCGCTCCTCTGATCAGGCGGCTGCCCCGTGTGCATGTGGCGTGCCCCGTTGCTTTGTCTGTTGCCATCGCACGCCCTACTTGCTCTGCACTTTCTCCACGGGACAGCCTGTGCGAGGTACTCTCTGGGCTGGGGAGCCCCACATGTGTGTGCATCCTGTCATGCGCACTGGATCGGTCCCCAGCTGCGGGGCCCCGTGCACGCACTCCTGCTGGAGCTAGCCCCCGGGGGTGGGGGGGCTGGAGACTCCTCGCAGCAGCCCTGCACTCGTGAGGCGCCCAGCCTGCTGTAGGAGGTCCGCCTCACTTGTTGGACAGAAGCTGTTCAACTGGCCCTCGCGCGCCTCTCAGCAGGAATTGCTCTAAATAGAGGGGTGCGGTCTGTGTGTTCTTGGGAGGGTTGAGCTCAGCATCCTCCTACACCCCCATCTTGGGCCCGCCTCCAAGTTTTTAATTTTTCTTTGGTTTGTATTTTAAGTGACATATCTAGGAAATGATTATGTAATTGAAGATCACAAAACTTCTAAGAGTTTTATAACATTCACAGAGCATGGCTTTCCACGCGGAGGCCCAGGGATTTTAGGAGTGAAGTAGGTGCAGATTGGCTCCTGGAATTAAAAGAACGGAGACACAAAAGAAAGCAGGACGTGGAGCTGGTTTAGAACATTGTAGCTCAGAGCTACCTAACAGACAAGCCCACGGGCAAGAAATAGGGCTGGCACAGTTGTGTCAGTGACAAGAAGAAGATTCTCAACACCCATAGGTAAAGCGACCTCTGGGCAGAAGCCCTGGGACAGGAGAGCAGCAGAACCACCAAAGGGCGAAGCTCGAGATGTTGCTGGAGAGCGTTTTCCTCACTGAGGAGCCTAAAAAGCAGGTCCAAACAGAGGAGCCGGCAGCATCAGAGCCGCGCTCAGCCTGGGGGTGAGGGTGAGGGAAAGCCAGTGAGAAGATGCCCAGGAGTGCGAGCTGTGTTGGAGCAGCAGCCTGGCAGTCTCTGAGGAGGCTTTGAAAACCAGAAGTCTAGCAAATCTGTAAAAGTTACACAGTTCCTTCATTCCGGTGTTCTTTAAAGTTTTTCATAAAAGTTCCTTTTGAAGAAAATGTCAGTTGGTCTTACCTAACCGCTCAGGGGCAGGAGTTTCCTCCACCGGGGTCAGAGCCCCCATTTTCCTCCTCCCCTCCCGGCCCTTCTTCTCCAGGCAGAGGCAGAGGCAGGGGGTCCTGGCAGCAGCCAACCGACACCTCCCTCCCTCCCGGAGGCTCTCCTGTGACCAGAGCACACCACACATGACGATAGGAATGGCCCAGGCTCATGGACAGAGAGGAGTCATTCAAAATTCAAAGACACGAGCGACTTCTTGCTCTTCAAACCCAGAAAAATGCATTTCCAGCACCTTGCTTTTGGTCACATACTTAACAAACTGTAATAGGGGGTTACATCCTAGGGATTTGGGGCAGTTTATAAAGGCAAAAAGTAAAACGCCCCAGTTACTTTTTTAAAACTCTCAAATCACAATGAAAGGCTGACAAGTACAGCGACTGCAACTTCCTCTGGGACATCAGTCATGTCCTCATGCCACCGTCACTGGGAGGAATTGACCTCCGGGCCAGTTGGCTGTGAGGACCATCTCTAACGACAGCAGAAGGACTGCTGTGCAGGAGACACCCCTATGGAGCAGGTCTTGCTTCAGTGGGGCTTTGGTGCTCATTGAATCTGATCCTTGAGTGTGTCTTATGGATATGTGTCTAATTGTAATCTGGGATGGTCTCACACTGGCCACTAGGTACACTGGCACTTGGGTCACCAGAGAGGTGAAAAGTAGCCACTGCCTGAGACCACCCAGAAGGAGCTACAGAAAGATCTACAGATTCCTCCTCTTTGTATCACGTTTGGAAGTGCCCAGATGAGGCCCAGATGTGAAGCGAGGCAGGCTGGTACAGGTGCTAGGTGTTGGGCCTTTTATTGACCCAGCCCTTGTTTGACAGATTTTAGCCAGAGCAAGGACAGGCCATTCATATGCAAAAGCCACTACACACAGCTTGAGTGTGGTTGTAGATTGGATGAGGCAAGGTCTTAGGGAAACTGCGGCTTGCGAGCCACATGCAGCACTTTGGCCCCTTGAGTGTATCTTCCACAAAATACCATGGCCTGGGCGAGTCTATTTTGAAGAAGTGGCATTAGAAGTTTAAGTTTAAAAAAAAAATTGGCTCTCAAAAGAAATTTCAATCGTTGTCCTATTGATACTTGGCTCTGTTGACTAATGAGTTTGCTGACCACTGTCCTAGGGAATCACCCGGGTGGAGCAAACATAAATGGCTGCCAGTTAGCTCTGCAACCCGGGAGGTCCCAGCATAGAAACAATGATCCCTGTGAGCATCTCCGTCTGAGAGGAAGCTGCCCTCATGTCCCTGCCCTGATGCCAGACAATCCGCTTCCTCCTCGTATGTGTCTGCCCCGCCCTGGTGCTGGAGCTCAGAGGAAGTGGGACCTTGTAAGTTCAGTTCATGGTGCTGGCCTTTTAAGAGGAGCAGCTGGGTCTCCAGCAGCCTCTGTGTCACTGAGCCCCAATCCGTCCTGGTTTTTACAGCCCATAGTTCTTACTGCCTATAGGGACTTCTCTTCCCAGCTCTGGGACCCTGGGCTGGGGTTCTGGTGTGGGGCTGGGACCCCTTGCTCCTCTGGGCAGCCTCTGCAGAGACAATCGCCCCACTGATTAAAAAAAGGTGCACGTGGGTGCCTGACCAACCTGTCCCGGGCCTCTGCACCTCCTGCGAGTCTCAGTGTACTTCTTTACTTCTCTAGTCGTAGGACTTCCATCCAGCCAGATTTCCAGTGGTTCTGGATGATGGTTGTTCTGTATTTTAGTTGTAATTGTGATATGGTTGTGGGAGTCAGCAAGTGCAGGCATTTACCTATGCTGCCATCTTCAAATCTCCCTTTTTTTTTTTTTTTTTTTTTTTTTTTTTTTTACAGCCCCTCAAAACACATCCTCCAGTTTCCCAGGGTCTGTAAGTTAGTAAGGTGAACAATCATTAAACAACTGTGATCCTATTCTTACTGTGTATCCTTCCCCCTATCGAGGCGGGGTGGGGGAAGGGAGGGGAGGAGGGGGAGAGTAAGGAGGCAATAGGAACATGGATGTGAGAAGGAAGCATCATCGGCTGCCTCCTGTGCATGCCCTGGCTTGGGATGGAATCCGCAACCTTTCGGTGTACAGATCGATGCTCCAGCTGAGCCACCCAGCCAGGACAGCATAGGGTGTTCTAGGAATTAAATGTAGCATCCCAGAAGAAAACTACATCTTTGAAGATCAGAAATCTCAGGAAAGGGTTTCCCCAATACTGTCACAGATTCTCTGACGGTTACATTTGTCAGTAGGGAAGACCTATGCTTTTGTAAATGTTTCCTGTCTTCATCTTAACCTGACACTTTCTCCTCAATGACTCAAAACTCTACACAGTTCTTTTCCCATTTGGCATCTACATCAGCAATTCCCCCGAGGCATAGACAGGCTTCCATTTATCTTTGCTAGAAATGAATTGGAAAACAAGTACTTAATAAATTTGAGACCAAGAATATTAGAAACAATAGATTATCCAAAATAATAATAATAATAATAATATGTGGATCATAATATTTTTCTTCCACAATATTTAGAGATTTTTCTACATCAGTGCATATAGATCTGTCTGCACTCTTCTCTTTAATATCAATAAATGCATTTTATATTGAATCAATTCTAAATTAATGGACATTTCAGTTATTTAAAAATCTTCATAATTTCTATGAAAGCCATATAACTACCAAAACTGATGATGTACAGAGACTGGTGACCCCCTTGGTGTGGTGCCCCGCTCACCTGCTCCACCATCCCGCTGTGGCCAATGCCCATCATGTTCTGTGCATGCCCACTGGTGATCAGCACATGTCATAGTGACTGGTTGTTCAGTTGTTCTACTGTTCAGTCTCCTTGCATATTAGGGTAGGGTCCCTCGGCCTGGACGGCAATCAGGGCCAATCTGTGGGCCAACCAGCAGGGAGACCAGGCGACCCAAGCTGGTACTCACCTTGGCCAGCCTGGTGCCACCTACTTGCTGGCCCCAACCCCCACCACCACCACCACCAATCCCCTCCCTCTGCAGGGCAACCAGCAGGACAATCAGGGGCCCCACTGGAACCCGCCTTGGCTGGCCTGTGGCCTGCAAGCTAGAGGCAGCTCCTATGTTGAGCGTTGCCCTCTGGTGGTCAGCACACATCATAGCAACTGATTGTTCCACCAGTTGTTCCGCCATTCAGTTGATTTGCATATTAGGCTTTTATTATATAGGTTACAATGGAATATTATTCAGCAATAAAAAATAATGAAATCTTGCCATTTGTGATAGCATGGATGGACCTAACATATATTATGTTAAATGAAATAACTCAAGAGGCAAATACCATATGGTCTCACTTATATGTTGAATCTAAGAAAACAAATGGACAAACAGAATTATAGATACAAAGACCAAACTGATGGTTGCCAGAGGAGTGGGTGGGGAAAGGGTGAAAAAGGTACAAACTTCCAGTTACAAAGTAATATCACAGGATATAATATACAGCACAGGGAATGTTCAATAATATCATAACTTTGGCCCTGGCCTCTATATTCAATGATTAGATCCTCAGCCAGTGCACTGAAAGGTCTTGGTTTCAATTCCCAGTCAAGGGCACATACCTGGTTGCACATTGGATTCCTGGCACCTGTGTGGGAGACAACCAATCAATGTCTCTTCTTCCCTCTCTTCTACTCTATCTAAAATCAATGGGAAAATATCCTCAGGTAAGGATTAACAACAAAAACACAGGTATAACAGAAAACCAAATGACCAAAAAGGAGGAAAAACAAAGAATTGAAATAGATCCACAAGAAATATAAATATTGCAAATATCTGACATGGACTTTAAAATATAATAACTTTAAGTATGTTTAGGAAACTAATGACAAGATGGATAACTTTAATAGTTAAAGCTGTAGTAAACAAATATGTGATGCTTTAATCAATAAAGAATTTTTTTAAAAAGTTGTAGTAAAGATAGGCTAACAGATTGCTGGAACAAAATAGTGCCCAGTAAAACCCATACCTCTAAAAGCAATAGATTTTCAACTAAGGTCTTAAGGCAATTCACTGGGGAAAGGCTAATTCTTTAAACAAATGATGCTGAAACTATTGGACCTATCCACAGGCAGAAAGATGAACTTCAATCTTTACTTCTCACCATATACAAAAATGCATGGTTTATCTAAATGTAAGAACTAAAACTATAAAAAAAAAAAGTTATAGATGAACACATAGGATAAAAATCTTAATGGCCTTGGGGTATGCAAAGATTTCTTTATTCTGCTACAAAAGCATCCACTCTAGAAAGAAAAAACAATAAATCAGATTTTACTAAAATTTCAAACTTTTGCTCTTCAAAGAAAATAAAAAGGCAAGCCACAAACTGGGAGAAAATGTTTGCAAAACATGTATGTCTGACAGAGGACCTGTGTCCAAAATTTCTTTAAAAAAAACAAAAAAAAACTCTTGCAACTCAATAATAGACAACCCATTTTTTTAAATGGGTAAAAGATTTTAACAAAATGCTTCACAAAATATACAATAGATGATTGGTACGTAAGCACATGAAAATTGCCAGAAACCAATTGGCTGTGTAAAGGGGTAGATGGGGAGTCCTCCACAGTGGGGTTCAGCAGGTAAAGTCTAAGGCTGGAAACATGCTAGTTAGAGACCAGGAAGGAAGTATGCCACAAATCAGCAGGAGCTGTCTCTGAGGAAGGGGGTCGCAGATTACTGGTCATAGCACATAAGGGAGGAGCTGCCTGAACATTTTAAGGTGTGACTTTAATATAAATAAAAACTTGTAGGGCACTATCAGGGCCTCAGGGTCACAACCTCGGCCTGCCCGCTGGTGAAGCGGCTCTGTGCCCCACCACGGGCGCGGACAGGAGACACGGAATTTCCCACGTGGTTGCGGGTCCTCGGACACAGTCTTCAAGTTTGCGAGTGGAGGCTGGGTAAGCGCACCAGGCAGCTTTTGCTCTGAAGAGCTCAGGGGCTCGTCTTTGGGGACCCAAACGCTGGAATTGGCATGTTTAATGTTGCTTACTAAATTGAGGGATGCCTGAACTCTTTGCATTTTTCTCACGGTAAGAACCCAAAATAAAGACACATATTTGAGGAAATGTGATGCTTTGAAGGTAATTCACCTTCTTTCCTCCAAGCCCTGTGGGAAGGGGGAGTAGAGGCCTGATGACCTAGTAAGTCTGTGCTTCTTGTTCCTTCTCCAGGTGGCCACTTCTTTCATCGAAGCTCTCTGTCCCCTCGGAGCCTGGTGTATGAGAGCGAATTCTCCACACTTGAACCTTCTTTGGACATGTATGATGAGAACAAAACCTGATTTTTTAAAAAGGGGCCGTTGGGGTCACCTCTTCTGTGATTTGATACATGATCACCTTCCTTGTTTTGTATTCTTCTGTCAGCGTCTGTTTTGGAAGAACGGCGGTGCTTTCCAAGCTCAGGTTGGGGCTCCGGGTTGGATGGCAAAGACCCCCTGGTGAGGCTTTGAGAACAGCCTATTTCCCAGGTGACCTGGTGGCACCCAAAGCCGCCCCCCGCTGGCCGCAGACCACGGGCCCGACAAGCCCGGCTGTTTGCAGAAGAGTCGGCCCCGGAGAACGGTGCGTCGTAAACGAGTCTGAGCAGCCACGCGCTCTGGGCGGGGCGATGCTGGCATTTTTAAATACCTTGTGCTCCTCGCGACGCCCACTGCGCGCTTCTCACCCACGTGGGCACGAGTTGCTGCTGCATGGCCCACTCTGTCTCCTCCCGTCTCTTAATCTACTTCCTGTCAAAAGGCCTCTTTCTGAAGGTTCTCTCTTCTGAGACTGACCGCCCGGAGCGTCGCCACGGGCAGCAGGCAGGCTGTGCGGGACACACAGGCGTCCCCGTCGTCACAGCATGGCCTAAGGTAGGGGTGTCGAACTCAATCAGAGAAGGGGCCCAAATCTAAAATCCAGCCTAAATCGCGGGCCGCGAATGGTTTACTGAACAGTCATAAACTGTCATTGTGATGGAAACGCAGCGGAGTGCAGTGATGACAGCGCGGTGCGGGCCACATTGCAAGGCCTGGCAGGACGGATTTGGCCCGCGGGCCTTGTGTTTGACACATGTGGCCTAAGGTGTCACGTGCTGATGTGATCCCCGAGCCCTGAAGGCTCTGTCCCCAAGGCCTGTGACTTATTTGCTTGGCAGTAGGTGTGTGGGAGGGAGGGGGGGAGAGGTTGGCACCCAGAAGGCCAGCCTGGCAATTATCTGAGCATGACAGCCAGTGGGTGTCAAATCAGAAGGGTTCTGCGTGGCCGTGCTTAGATCGCATCGCCCCCCGCTGGCAGACACGGGATGGGCGCCTCGCGTCCTCCTTCACCGGTCCAGCCCAGAGCTCTCCACCAGCCTTGGCGGCAGCATGAAGGCGAAGCTTCCAGAAGAAGACATGGTGGGCCGTGCAGCACAGATCGGGGACACGTGCTCTTCCTACACACCTGGGAGGCATCAAGTTAACATCACAAGAAACATGCATTATAAGAGTAATCCCAACACGGAATCATGATGAGCAAATTTACGAAACCAATTCTAGACATCCTTCTCGCTCAAGGGCACACCGGTTCAGCCTCTTTCGTGGTGACAGCCCGCCCCCATCGCACGCCGGAGTGAGACCAGCAGCACACCGCCCGCCCCGGGCGGCTCTTCCCGCGGGCCGCGGGCCCTGAGACGGCTGGGGACGCCGCCCTTTCCGCGCGCACCGCCTCCGGTTTGTGTAAGATGCCTCGGACACAGTGAGGCCCCGAACAAACCCGCACCGAGCCCTGCAGCCTCGGCGCCACCAGCAGCGTTTGGTTTTCGAAGGTTGAGGCTGGAACAGTGCGGAGTTTAAGGTCTTGGCAGGTTTTTCTTTCCCCTTTACCCAAGGGCTTTTGCTTGTTTCCTAGTTATAGTCGTTGCACTATAAAAATATTTTTTATAAAAAGCAGTTTCAAGAAGCCCTGTTCGTAGGCAGGTCTGCCGCTGGCTGGCGAGGACGGAGGCCCAGACTTGGGTTTGGTGGGCTCCCTGCGCTGCCGCTTCTCTGGCCCAGAACTGGCTCCAGCGCAGGTTTTCTTCCGCCTGTGCCGCCTCCCAAAAGCAGTCACATTCCTGGGAAGAGATTTAAATTCAGGCCCTGAGAACCCACTTCTTGATACCATGTTTGAATTTCTGGTGACACGAGGGCATACGTTTCCTGCCGAATAGCGGGGAGTTTCTCACAGGGAGCGCCCTGCGGCCCCTGCTCCAGGCCCAGCTACTCCCTCTCCTCTGGGCAGCGAGCTGCTCTCCCTCCAGCTCCGGGCGCCCGCCACCCGGGCAGAGGCTTCTCCGCAGGCCGTGTGCTTCTGGCGGAGGGAGGGTGGCACCATTGACCAATCAATCCATCTCTCCAACAGCGGCCTCTTTGCTGAGCTGAGCGAAACCTCCTCCAGCCACCGGGGGGCTTGGCGGGGCGGGCAGGGCGGGGCAGGCAGGAGGGCTGCTGGGCCGGAGCTTCGTGAGAACGCAACTCCGCAGGGGCAGCCTCCCCTGAGAAGCTCAGCTCGGAGCCGGGTGGCCAGGAGCTGGGTGGCCAGGAGCTGGTGGCCAGGAGCTGGGTGGCCAGGAGCTGGTGGCCAGGAGCTGGGTGGCCAGGAGCTGGTGGCCAGGAGCTGGGTGGTCAGGAGCTGGTGGCCAGGCGCATGCGGTTGGCATGCAGAGAGGTCTCGCTGGTGCAGGCCTCGCAGCACTGCAGATGTTATGGGGAGTGTATGACCTCTGATCGTTTGGGGGTGCAGTGGGGGGACAATTTGAAGAGAGAGGGGACAGAACACTGACTTCACCGCAGGCCTCCGTCCCTGCAGTGGCCTCCGCTGGCAGCAGACCCAGGTGCATGTGGCTGAGATGGGAGGGCAGGAATTGGGTTGGGGCAGTTAAAATGCAAATGCCTACAATTCGGTGATGTTTAACTTGCTAGGGGAAGAACTCCCCGGAGCCCTCCTTTCCCGCCCTCCTTTCCCGTTACTTCAGGCTCAGAGGAGAGGGGGCACCGGCTGGCCACAAGCGAGCCCAGGCTGGGGGCCCGGGGCGGGGCGGGGCAGTGGGTGGTGCTGGCAGGCAGCATGTCCGCCCAGGGCCGCAGGCGGCTGCCCCCTCAGGGGAACACCAGTCTACCACCGGGGGTCAGCAGTACCTTGTAGTCCGGTGAGCCCCACTTTTTAAGAAAGGCATGGAGCCCCTGCCCCTCCTCAGGCCTGGCTCAGAGAGCGCCCAGGAGGCACCCACCAGCCTCTTGCCTGCCACAGCCTGGCTTCCAAAGATGTGGTTGTGCCTGGCCAGGTGCTCAATGGTTGGAGCATTGCCCCATGTACCAGAAGGTTGTGGTCCAACTCCCAGTTAGGGCGCATACCTAGGTTGTGGGTTTGATCCCTAGTTGGGGCACATACAGGAGTGTGGGAGGCAATCCACATTTCTCTCTCTCACATCAATAACATCCTCCAGTGAGAGCTTAAAAAGAAGTGGAGTCACAAAGGGTTTAAACAAAATAAGGTGGTTAAATATCACTAACTTTATGTTTCCTATGGGCTTCAAAAGTTCTTCTCATATTTTATTACCCCTCACGGCCAATTCTTCCTCGATCTACATGTTAAACAAAACCGGTTTTAACTGGCCCTGGTGGTGTTGTCCAATGGTTAGAGCATCACCCTGCCCGCAGAAGGGTCACAAGTTTGATTCCCGGTCAAGGACACGTACCTGGGTTGCAGGGTCCATCCCCAACCACTGTCAGAGCAGATGCAGAAGGCAACCGATTGATGAGTCTCTCTTACGTAGACATTTATCTTTCTCCCCCTCCCCCTCTTCCCCCCTCCCACTCTCTCTAAAAAGGATCAATTGGAAAAATTTCCTCGGGTGAGGATTAACAAAACCAAAACAAAGCAAAAGCACTGCTTTTAACGGAAGAAAAACCAAAAGGTTGCCCTGCGTTGCCCTTTGTTATTTGTGCAGTGTTTCTGCTGTAGGCAAGCCAGGAGGCAGGTCACCTGCTCGCACATGTCATGGCCCCAAACACCGGTGTCCAGGCTGGGACTCGGGAGGAAGGGGCAGGTTATAGGCTGATTCTGTCCTCAGGCCGTGATTTCGTTCTCACTGTGTGCCAATCACAGACTCGGAGTTCAGGTGAGCCCAGCGACGATGGAGATTTGCGGTCCTAGGACACGGGCACAGTAACAGCCACTGGGCTTCGAGACAGATGAGATGAGGGTGCGTCCTGAAGAGGGGTTGCCCAGGGCACACACAGGGGCGGGTGCAGCGTGGAGAGGACAGGCGGCACCTCAAAATGCAGCACCCAGGGACGGCAAGCGGGGAGCTTGCGATGGCAACAGGGCTTCCCTGGGGTTTTCCCTCGCTCTTCTCCCTCGCTCACGCCATTTTCCTGTTTCTTCGCTCTGCCCTGGGGAAGAAGGAAGATGTGTTATATGCCGTGTCTCCTTGGGCTTGTGGGTGTCGGATGCGGGGCAGGAAGCTTTGCTGTAGGGAGGGCCTAATCTCTTCAGAGCAAGCTGGCTGGGTGGGCTGGCAGCACTGCGTGCCTGGGGGCCTGCCTGTGCAGGAAGCGGCCGGGGTCTGACGTGGAGGGGGAAAGGCGGCCGAGGTGGCTGCAGTGGTGGCTGGGAGGGCTGGCGGGATCCGGGGAGAGCGCTGTGGGCGCCGGCAGGACATCGGTCCTTGGCAGCACGGAGACCAGTGCTGGGTCTCCCCAGAGATTTGGGGAAGGAAGAGGGGTCAGGGCGAGGCCCCTCTGCGCATCAGACACCTGGGAGCTGGTTTAAATGCACAGCCTGTACCACCCGCCTCTCCTCCCCCACCCACCTTTCCCTCTCCCTCTCCTGCTCCCTCTTCCTCTCCCCCTCCCTCTCCCTCTCCCTCTCCCTCTCCCTCTCCCTCTCCCTCTTCCTCTCCCTCTCTGTTCCCTCTCCCTCTGCCCCTCCCTCTCCCTCTGCCTCTCCCTCTCCTTCTCCTGCTCCCTCTCCCTCTCCCACTCCCTATCCCTCTTCTTCTGCCTCTCTCTCCCTCTTCTGCTCCCTCTTCTTCCCTCTCTCTCTCTCTCTCTCTCTCTCTCTCTCTCTCTCTCTCTCACACACACACACACACACACACACACACACACATACACACGCACATGCACATGCACACGCACAGAGTATGTACACAGACACATGCACTCTCCTTCCCACACGCACACCCTGGAGTTAGAATCCCACAGGGAGTGTCTCCCGGCCGGCTGTGTCTCCTTATTCCAGAAGATGCTGGAAGCCAGCGTAGGGCTCGGGTTGCCCAGTGACACGGAGCCAGGCATGAGGCCGACTGAGGGCAGGCAGGAGCTGCTGACAAAGCACCGAGTGTGGTCCCGTCCACGGCCTCACCCACGGCCTGGAACAGCACGGGGTCCCAGGCCACCAGGAGAGCGGGCGAAACGGACACCACAGTGTGCAGGCAGGACCCCTGCTGAGAGCGCTTGTGACGATGCTGCGTCCAGTTTCGCCTTTTCCTTTGCTTCGTTGGTAAATTGTCCCAAAGCCACTGCACCGAGGAGGAGCGTGAGTGAGTTGTTCCTGTGAGTGAGTTGTTCCTGTGAGTGAGGGGTTCCTGTGAGTGAGGGGTTCCTGTGAGTGAGGGGTTCCTGTGAGTGAGGCGTTCCTGTGAGTGAGGGGTTCCTGTGAGTGAGGGGTTCCTGTGAGTGATGCGTCCCTGTGAGTGAGGCGTCCCTGTGAGTGAGGGGTTCCTGTGAGTGGGGGGTTCCTGTGAGTGAGGGGTTCCTGTGAGTGAGGGGTTCCTGTGAGTGGGGGGTTCCTGTGAGTGAGGGGTTCCTGTGAGTGAGGCGTCCCTGTGAGTGGGGGGTTCCTGTGAGTGGGGGGTTCCTGTGAGTGAGGCGTCCCTGTGAGTGAGGGGTTCCTGTGAGTGAGGGGTTCCTGTGAGTGAGGGGTTCCTGTGATGCCCGGACGTGGTGCACTCCTGTCAGCAGGACTGGAAGGCGCCTTGTGCAGCTTAGGCAGCAGCCGAGAAGTTACTGAACCCAGACGGAGACGTGTGCGGGGTCCTGCCTGCCTCTGTCCTAACGTGTCCCCTGCAGAGGCCGCCGCTGCCGTGGCTCAGGCCCCCTCACCCTCCGAAGGCCTGGGCAAGCGGTCGGAGCATTGCAGCCGGGGGCGCCTCGGGGTGCTGGACAGCTTGGGCTGACCCGGGGTTTTCCCTCTTGCATTCACCGGAGCTCACACCGGTTTCCCTTTTCTTGGCCCTGACTTGGGGAAAAAGGAAGATACTTTATGACAAATGAAAAACATCAACGCTCTGAAATTCATACAACCTGAGTTAAACTTTCAGGTCTCAGTGCCCTGAAGTGCCAAACCTCGGTGCTGGGCGTACTGTACTCCCGTGGGCTCTCCTCAGCTGTGTGCTGGAGATAGCCAGTGTGCCCGGAGACAGGCGGTGTGCCCAGAGACAGGCGGTGTGCCCCAAGACAGGCGGTGTGCCCGGAGACAGGCGGTGTGCCCGGAGACAGGCGGTGTGCACGGAGACAGGCGGTGTGCCCCGAGACAGGCGGTGTGCCCGGAGACAGGTGGTGTGCCAGGGCAGGCGGTGTGCCTGGAGACAGGCAGTGTGCCCCAAGACAGGCGGTGTGCCCAGAGACAGGCGGTGTGCCCGGGGACAGGCGGTGTGCCCCGAGACAGGCGGTGTGCCCCGAGACAGGCGGTGTGCCCGGAGACAGGCGGTGTGCCCGGAGACAGGCGGTGTGCCCCGAGACAGGCGGTGTGCCCGGAGACAGGTGGTGTGCCAGGGCAGGCGGTGTGCCTGGAGACAGGCAGTGTGCCCCAAGACAGGCGGTGTGCCCAGAGACAGGCGGTGTGCCCGGGGACAGGCGGTGTGTCCGGAGACAGGCGGTGTGCCCGGAGACAGGTGGTGTGCCAGGGCAGGCGGTGTGCCTGGAGACAGGCAGTGTGCCCAGAGACAGGCGGTGTGCCCCAAGACAGGCGGTGTGCCCAGAGACAGGCGGTGTGCCCGGGGACAGGTGGTATGCCAGGGCAGGCAGTGTGCCCCAAGACAGGCGGTGTGCCCGGGGACAGGCGGTGTGCCCACGGACAGGCGGTGTGCCCAGGGACATGTTAGGCTGGCTGGCAAGGCCTGGCTGGCAGCCTGGAAGGACTGGCCTCTCAGAGGCACCGGGCCTGGCACAGACGCTGGTGCAGAGCCCAGCGTGGGCCCAGCCCAGCAGGAAGTGCCGTCACGGAGCACACCGGCTCCCGGGAAGCTGAGCGGGGAGGGCCTGCTCTCCGCTGCGGGCCCTTCCCCGGGGACAGCGCCGGCTGGTCTGCTTTAACGGGGCCGGAGCAGTTCCCTGTGTCCTCGTGGGGTGCCAGTCATGGCCCCTGGCCCTCTGCAGTGACCACTCTCAGAACTCTCCACAGCTACTGGCAACTATCGAGTTACAGATGATTGTTCTGAGCTATTTTTACAAATTTCACCCAACACACGTAAACTCTAACTCGCGTTCAGAATTACTCTTCATCCTCACCTACGGCCAGGTGTATTTACACTGTGCGGCATTAACGGCTTTTCTAGCCACTGGGAGGAACCAGGCCGAGATGTTTGTAAAGACAAAACGTGGGCGAGGGTGGCGGCAGCAATGTCCAGGCCACCTTTTTCCTTGGGTAAGCGCTCCCCAGCGCAGAGCTGGCCACCCGGTGCCCGCCAACAAGCCCCATGGACCAGGTCACCAGGGCCTCAGCTCCCTCCCTGGTGCCCGTCCTGGAGAGAAGCAGAGGCCGCTGTGCCCCTTCACAGTGCCCAGGCCTCGCTGCTGACCCGCCGGGGAGCGGTGCCCGGGCCAGTGCTGGGCCAGATCCTGGTGTCTTGGCTGAGAGTGGGAAGCAGGGCTAAGCCGAGAGGCAGTGACTCGAAGGAAACAGACGGGAGCGGACGCCATGCTGGGAAATGCTGTTCGGGGTCCAGGGAACACCGGCTCCTAGCACAGCAGTCCTGGTCACACCCTGGGCCACATGTGTCTCCATTGTTTCTGACCCTCCGTAGCTTTGTACTCATCCTGTGGTCTAGTTGCCCTTTCACACTGGGGTCATTCGAGAGCTGCTTTTCCTCTGGGTTCCTGCTGGCTGCGCCCAGCGTCCAGAGGATGGCAGACTATTTACAACGCAGGTGATGTGGGCGGGGGAGGCTGGCATGTACCTAAATGTGGCACATGGCTTAGCTGCTACCTTGAGTGACGAAAGAAAAACGAGACGCTTGAATTTTAACCCACCATTGGCTAGCTTGTGCCAGAACACGCATTGAAGATCCAAGAGGCCAAACTGGTCATTGGCTTACTTTGGGGACTCGCCGTGGGAGGAGTCACCTTGCCTGGGACGCACAAACACCTGCGAGCGGACTGTGAGCTGCTTTCTTGGCACCAGGTCGGACAAGCCCTTTAAAAGGCTCTGGACAGCACAGCTCCTGGTCCATATGGTTGATGTAAGTATAACTACGTAGTGAAATTGTGTGGTATATGTCTACATGCCAATAGTGTATACCTGTATGTGGGATTTGCTAATATAACCATTTCAATAAAAACATATTGAAAAAGCTGCTCTGTGGTAATACTGTTGGTGGTAACCCGTGTCAATGAGGAGACTTACAGAAACCCCAACCCAAACTGGCTTAGCGAAAGGGGCTGCAGCCAGTGGCTCACAGGAGCTCACTGCAGGGGGCTGTGTCTCAGCGGTGTGGCCGGGCCGGTCCTTGGACACGGATACGGGCACGTTGCTGCCTTTGCTGGCTCCAGATGAACTTCCGGCTCAGGCACAGGTAGGTGGCAGCCCTGTGAGCAGTAGAGCTGATCTAATTCCCCAGGAGGTAGCCCAGGCCAGGACGGCAATTCCTTCTCCCTGACTGCTTGCTGGGAGGCACGTGGTCACCACCAAACTGGCCACCGTGGTCACAGACGTGGAATGTGCTCGCGGTCAGGGCAGCCTGGGTTCCACCTCGGCCGCTGCGCTCGGCTTCACCTGAGACGGATTCAGAGTCCTGAGGGTGTTCCCACGGCATCCGCTTCTTTCTCTGCAGCCTCCTGGATCTGCTGCGACGTCCACGCAGACAGCAGAGAGGGGCCAGGCAGCCTGCACGTGAGTGCCGCCTCTGCCACGCCCAAGGTGAGCTTGGCAGGATTCCATCTGTCTGGCCTTGGTTTTATCATCTCTCAGATAAGGGTCATAAAATACTCAAATACACAGATAATTCTTACAACGCAGCTATAAAAAGGCAACCTGATTTTTTTTTTCCCAGAAAAAAATGTTGCTTTATTATAACATAGGAAAAACTACAATTCATGAAGGAAGGGGAGAGCCAAACAGTTCCTCAAACAACAAGGTACAATCATTGGAATATTTTCCCTATAATTTTAGTTTTTGGTTATCACAATTACTTCAATTATTAAAATGCACACACACAGCCCCACTCTGGCAATTTTACAGTCAAAGCATACACATCACGCCTCACCACAAAAGCCCGGTATGTAGGCCTGCGACATCCTAGCACCTGCCAGGGGAGGGGCTGCGTGGGCCAGAGGGAGGTCTGGCCACTCGGTCCTCAGGCTGCCTCCGGGCCAGGCCTGACCCCGTTATCCCAGCATCTACACCGCTCGGAACTCCACATGTCTGAAGGGGGAAGTCTACCGCTTCACTGAGAAGCGCGGAGTGGCAGCCAACATTTCAGAAGTCCCGGTTATTTTAAATGTACTGATGGGAGTGCAGGGGTCAGACCCATTGGGTAAGGATGGAACACCTACATAGAAGTGGTTGTTAGGAAACAACCATTTTCCTGAATTTAATAGCTGGAATGGGAACTTTAAGAAAAGGAAATTTCGCCCTAACCACTTTGGCTCAGTGGAGTGTCGGCCTTCGGACTCAAAGGTCCCAAGGGCATGTACCCTGGTTGCGAGCACAAGCCCGGGAGGGAGTGTGCAGGAGGCAGCTGATCAATGCTTCTCTCTCATCGATGTTTCTAACTCTCTATCCCTCTCCCTTCCTCTTTGTAAAAAATCAATTTTTTATATATATATGAAATTTCATGTAATATTTAGTTCCTAACAAGATCAATTCAAATAAGCACATCTATCACGGACCTCCTGCTGGGTGTCAACCTATGAGCCAGGAGGTCATGGTTCAATGGTCAGGGCACAGGCAGGAAGAGGGCAGACCCGGGCAGCACCCCTCGCAGGAGCCCTTCCAGGGGCAGGGACGAGGTACCTGCCAAAGGGGAGAAAGAGAACTAATTTGGATACACAAGTTTCAAATGATGTCCACAAAAGATGCACCTGGCCCCGCTGTCCCTCCCTGTCCTTGGCAGCTGAGCCTCTGAGCCCCAGCGCAGGCAGGGAGGGTGGAGGGAGCACCAGCTGGGAAAGAGGCTGGACAGATCTCAGATAATCTTCCAGAAACCCCAAGGCCAACATGTCCCCTTTGTCCCCGCTCTGCATTTATAACCTCCAGTCAAGCGAGGAGGACACAGCAGCAGATGCAGGAAGACTTCCTGGCTCACAACTCCACACGCCAACGTCAGTCAGTTTGCTGTGTTCATTATTAAAAGACAGCACCTCTCCCCAAAGCAGTCTTCACAGCCGTGTCTCTCTCTCTCCCTCTCTCTCTCTCTCCCTCTCTCTCTCTCTCCCTCTCTCTCTCTCTCTCTCTCTCACACACACACACCTCGAACACATGATACCATTTCTAAAAATCTGCACCCATCCATACTTCTCTGAAAACACTTGCTATTTTATTTTAAAGCATGCTTTAACTGAGAAGGGCAACCCAATTTAAAATGGACAAGCCTTGGCCAGTTTGACTAAAGATTAGAGCATCAGGACATGGGTTCAATTCCTGATCTGGGCACATATTTCAGCTGCAGGTTCCATCCCCAGCCCAGTTGGAGCATATGTGGGAGGCAACCAATCAATGTGTGTGTCTCTCTCCCTCCCCTCTCCCTTTCATTCTCTAAAAATAAATGGGAAAAATACCCTTGGGTGAGGATTCAAACATAATAATAAAATAAAATAGGCAAAGGATGTGAGTAGACATTTCTCCAAAGAAGAAACACAAATGACCACCAAGTACATGAAAAGATCTGCAGCCTGCCCAGTGTGGCTCAGTGGCTTAGGGTCAGCCCATGAGCCAGGAGATCACAGTTCAATTCTGGGTTTTGGGTTTGATCCCCAGTTTGGGGCATGCAGGAGGCAGGCAATCAATGATTCTCTCTCATCATTGATATTTCTATCTCTCTATCTCCGTCTCCTTTCCTCTCTCTGAAATCAATAATAACATATTATTTAAATTTTTTAAAAAAAGATGCAAAAGATAAATAAAATAAAAAAACAAAGATGCTCCATATCATGTCATTAGAGAACTGCAAACCCAAACCACATGAGGTGCCACTTCCCACCCACTAGGATGGCTATAAAAACAAAGAGGCAATAACAGATGCTGAGGGGAAACAGAGAAACTGCACCCCTCCCACAGCACTGGGCCTATGTGAAATGGTGCGGCTGCTTTGAATGACGGTTGGGTGGTTCCTCAGAAAGATAAACGTGGCCCTGCTATATGTGAGAACAATTCCACTCCTAGGGACCTGCCCAAGAGAACTGAAAACATGTCTCCAGGAAAACTGGTACACGGCTGTTTACAGCATGATCATTCACAGTAGCCAAAAAGGGGAAACAACAAAATGTCCAACTGATGAACAGAGCAACAAAATGTGGCCTGTGATTCAGCCATAAAGCAGAATGAAGCACTGGCATGCTAGAGCATGGATGAACCTTGCATAGTAACTAAAAGAATTGTGACACAAAGGCCACATGTTATGTGGTTTTATTTACATGAAATGTCCAGAGTGAGCAAATCTATAGGGACAGAGATGGGTTAGTGTTGCCAGAAGTGGAGGGAGGAGGGAAACAGGGAGTGACTGTTAATAGCTAAGAGGTTTCTCTTTTGAAGTAATGAAAATGTTCTGGATTAGATAATGGTGATGGTTGTACAACTTTGTGAATATTCTAATAGTCACTGGATTGTGCAATGTAAAAGGGTGAGTTTTAATGGGATATGAATTATCTATTGTCCACAATTATATTATGGACATAATAAAAAATATTAATATACTAATAATCTATACTAATAAAAGGGTAATATGCTAATTAGACCAGATACCATGGACGTCTTCCAGACATCCTTCTGGACAAAGCCACAATGGTGGGGGCCGAGGCAGAGGCAGTTAGGGGCAATCAGGCAGGCAGCCAGAGGGGTTAGGGGCCAGCAGGCAGGCAGGCAGAGAGATTAGGGGCAATCAGGCGGGGCAGGCAAGGCAGAGGTGGTTAGGGGCGATCAGGCAGGCAGGTAGAGTGGTTAGGGGCGATCAGACAAGCAGGTGAGCAGTTAGGAACTAGTGATCCCAGACTGCGAGAGGGCACAGGCTGGGCTGAGGGACCCCCGCCCCTCCGAGCATGCTCTAGTATCTTATAAAGAAGAGCTCTCAAAAGACGGTCTCCAGGTCAACGGCATCAACATCATTAGAACTTGTTAGAAACACAAATACTCACTCCAGGTGGGGCCCAGCAATCCTGTTTTAACAAGTACTGCAGGTGATTCTCATGCAGCCCAAGTTTGAGACCCTCTAGTCAGAAACCAAATAATCCTCACCTCCTCTCCTGATGTTAGCAAGTACCTGCCAATTCTTGAGATCACAAGGACCCCTTATCAGATTAAGCTTCCAAGGTTTAAAGAAATCCAGCCTCTACATCTTGAATGCAGATTCAGAGTCAGGCAGCATCTCAGAGTCAGTCACGCGCTGTGGGTGACAGAACGGGCCAACCCCTTGATCGCTCTGGCTGTTCACCATGAAACCACCTGTTTATATCGACATCTACCATATTATTGAGTGCCAGTGACAGAACTCCAATTCGGAAGTAACTGAAGCTTCCCAGGGTGGTTCTGCCCTCCTCCCGGGTGATCCTGCATCCCAGTTGGCCCAGGGTGTTCTGCATACTCGCCTATTGTCCCAGACGGAGTTACCAGCTTCACTCCAGAGTCAGTGTTGGGACTGTGAGGGGTGGACTCCTACAGGCCAGCACTGGAGACCCCCATCCCAGCGCCGCCGGTGCTCCCGCCCGAGCCGTGAGAAACCCGCTGGCCCAGGGCCACCAGCCTTAGGGCCCTGCCAGCCTCAGGGCTTCCTGAAACCCTGTCCTCGGCTCCTGGAGGTCCTCTGTCTCAGGCTGTGTCCAAATTCAGAGAATTATTACAATGGCCTAACGCGCACTGGCCGCACTGCCCAGATAGCCAAAGCTCTTTCTTCACATTTCCCCCCGAAACCGTGGACAGGTTTCCTGCCCTCTGCACAACCAGTTCCTCTCTGAACAACCAGCTCCTCTAGGTCTGTGTGCTCGGCCACCCCAGGCAGACCGCGTGACCGCGGAGCTGGACCGTTCCTCCCGATGAGGCTGCAGCGCTGGGGCCGCAGGGGGAGGCGTGCACCGCGGGGCGGGCAGGCATGGAGGCGGGGCCTTTGGGAGGGGCGGGGCTTTCGTGGGCGGGCCTTGGAGGGG